TGCAGACTCAATCTATCAATATAAACTATTTAAGATCTAATTATGAGATTAAATGATATGCTGACTATTGACTATTTAATAGTATGATCACAGCCTACTCCTTAACAATGCAATATTCATTGAGCAGGAATACAACATGAAGAAGATTCAACTTATTGTCATTACGTAGTACAGGTACTATGTAACTAAACTGTTTCTCTGCATTTGACCCATCCTAGTGTTAGGAGCAGTGGGCTGCCATTATGTACTGCGCCCGGGGAGCAGTGTAGGGAACGGTGCCTTGCTCAGGGATACCTCGGTAGCACTTGGTCTTTCCGGGACTTGAACTGGTGACCTTCCAGTTGCCAAGCCAAGTCCCTATGGACATCGCCACCTCCGCCTCCCATGCATCCCATTCAACAATACACACAAACAGCTCACTTAACAGACTACGCGGGCAGTCAAGCCAACAGTGTACATTGCCTCCAATCGGCCCTAAAAGACAGACAGATAATAGGCAGCGGTTTATCACGCAGAAATTCTTCCTACAGTTCCATATTTAGGCAAAGTAAGACATCCATCTCTGGAGGGCTATTCTAGTCGAGGCCATAGGAGCAATGAGTCAGTGAATGCCCCGAGATCTGACAGCCAGTCGTCTGCTGCTGGTTTTCCCTTTTCCTAAGCATATATCCAATCAGGTTGCAAAGTTACTGTGCAGTCCTCTCGCATGGTCTCAACCTCTAATAAGGTTGAATGATATTGGAAGCGAGCTTCACACATTAAGAGAGGTGAACTGAGCTTATCGCTCCTGTCAATGGTTGAAAATGCAGAGAGCCGGGGTTATTCTTTGAGGGAAGGAAAGGGTAGGAGTGAGGATGTGTTAACACATGACGGAGTACTTTAGCTGGATGAAAAAGACGGGCAAGGATCTGGCCTCATTATTTCTATACGGGAGAGAGATGTCGTCTAGAGCAGGAAAGGGCCTTAGAATGAGGTTACACTGGGCACACAATGTGGGGTTGAGACAAGGAATGTGAATCATTGTCGCATTAAGAAACAGTGCAGTAAAATTCAACAGCTCCGCTTTCAGTGAAAAAACGTAATATTATTATTGCAGCATTAAGATTTGTTTTGGTTTTCATGAGTGGCAATTTATTTATGCAGGAAGGTTGGTTGTCTCTTTGTGCAAAATAGAAAAACAGCTTCTGTTTATCTGCAAGGCTCTCTGACTCACAAACCTTTACCTTGCTATAAATTACCAAAATAGAAGACTGAATTTCAGGAACTGCAAATTCTTTAGGAAAACGCTTTGTTAAAATGGTTCAGGGGAAATCAGCCCTTAGGTTCTATGTGCCCACTGAACAGAATTAATTGCAGTGTTGAAGTTGGACTCTCTAATAACCCTTGACGATGGAAATAGAGACTTCAGTAACACGATTTTACCCTGGTTTCAAAACTGATTATTTCCCTGCTTGTCTTAATATACAAGTGTGCATATGTGTCTGTTATTGTCTGTCTGCAAAGGATCATGTTGTCTGCCGAGGTATATTTTCATTATGTCGAGGTTTGGATGTGCGCACTAGATGTTTAATATATGATCTCTCTTGTATAAATCACAGGCTGCTTCCATTACAGGGTCAGATATTGTTTTTGGAGCCATTCAAATCCAAGCCAAATATTTGGTTACATGAACTCCTCTAAATAAAGAAAGTCAGCCATCGGTCAATCGAGCAGAACCATCTAAATTGGACACCTATCCTAATATATATGCCCCCTGCTTTCCCCCCAAAAAATAGCTTATGGTTTTACTCATGCATCATAACAAGTGAAATTAATCAGTGACCTAATTTAAGAAAGGCCGATAGACCTTCTGTCAGCAGAATTCTTGATTGATGCTGTTGCACATTATATTAATATCATACAGCTTCAAGTGCTTTGACAACATTGGTGTTGTGTGGGTGTCACCATTTAACGTTACCCAAGGTGCTCTTTGACACACCTTGCACTTTGGTGTGATGTCTGACAAACATCATGTGGCTCTCTGGAGAAGCCATAGCCTGTCAGAAAAGTAAACATTCACTGTAGCAGATGTAAGAGCAGACTGAAAAGCACTAACAATGTTGAGGTTCCATTTGTTTCTCCACTGTTTAAAACAAATAAACAACTTGTGGGCCAAGCACCAACCAAGCACCAACCAAGCACCAACTTTAGAAATTGCACATCATAGTACAAGATGTATTTATTATGGACGCTTCCTTCTTCTCAAACTTTAAAAATAAATAATAATCAACCTGGCAAACAAATGCAAGTAACTGGAGGATCGATTACACACAAACAGATGCATGGATGACAAATGACTTAGTGATGTTCATCTCGTCCACAAACATGATAATCTCCTTGGAGACAGGCGTGTGCTTTAACAGATGCTGCTAAAATGGCAGCCAAGCAAAACTATGTACAATTTCACTAACACAGACATACAGATAACTGCATACACTGACCATTCCCCTACCTCAGGGGAGCCACTTCTCTTACCTGCAACACTGACAGATGAGTCGACATATTGTCAACCACTCCAGTAGCGCTTATATTCTCCCTTTATGTCACACTGAACATAGGCTCTGAACAGAGTTTGCACACAATATATCTGCTGATAGCCATTTGAATTTGGAGAGTAGTGATTCAAAAGGGCCAGCCAGACACACAGCAAATTACTGGTGAATGGTGCTTTGATTGCCAGATATATGCATTTATTTTTGAAGCAGGCCACTTGTGATAACTCGTAACATCCTCATCAGATACAAAGAGGATTAGGCAATTTACCTTTTCAAAGTGGAGTCAGCTGATTACAAAGAGTACACTGTAATGTCATTAAAGAGCTCGTTTGGTTTAGGTCAAGACTGAAGAACTGTGCAACCTTCAGTAGTTTTCAGAGGCACATCAAGGTCATCTGCCACCCTGGATGCCTCTGCTGTAAATAAGAGCTACAGCTTTCACTCATTAATCCGCATGATTGACGTCTCCTGAGGGTGCACTAGCCTGCCGGATACTCATTTTATTCCTGAGTAGCTGGATTTACTCGGGATTTTAGACTGCGGCTGACAAACCAGCACAGTAGCCTAGACAATCAGCTAACTGCATTCCAATACACTCAAATGACAGCCATATAAAATAGGAGAAAAAACCCCGAGGAGGTGAGCAGAGTCTATCTGTCATCCATCATGCCGAGGCTTGTGATTTATCATTGCACCCTGCAGTGAGGCAGATGCACGCGGGCACAGAATAATAATTATGTGTCTACCCCAGCCGAGGAGCCGTCATGGGATAATATGATTGCATTGATTCTTGTCCGACTCCGGATAGGCTATGTAATAGGTAACGTTGCATATTACTTCGCCTTAGCCACATCCTAGCGACGCCCATCCAGCCACAAGTCGCCGGACCATTATCTGTACAAATACGCGAACTACATTACATGTTACCCCCCGTCCATTAGGACCAGTTTCCGCGCCGCTTAAGTACAATAATCGCAGGCCACATTCCCATGGGCATCCGTGAGAACCAAAGTCAGCGCTGCCGTATTGCTTTTCTAGCAGGTCACTGAGAGACACGGGTTGACATATAGAAAATAGATTTACCGACGTGCAGGGATGTCTGCGAAAAATGTGTACAGGAATACATATTGGATCCTTACCGTATCACCAGCCGCAGCAATATACGTGCATGTATACACATCCAGCGCAGAGAGTCAGGGAAAAGCTTTGCTGCGCTCTATACAGTCCCCACAATCTTGGATAGAAATAAATCTTCCCGTCGATAAATAATTTCACTGATTGGCGCCTTGACTTCGGGTCTGTGGTTATTTCTTGCTGCTGCAACACAACGACGTGGGTAAATCTTGCCCAAAGAGGGGATGGAGATAACGCTGAGGGTCTAATAAACCACAAGCTGCGTGCTTAGTATCCCGATCAGCGCTCACACAGGAGGAGGAATCGCGTCCGTCCAAACGCACTAAGTCCAGTGGAGTGCTGGAGGAGGACAGAGGCGTATCTCTTTCTTTCTCTCCCTCTCTCTCCGCCTGTCTGTATCCCTTCCTCCCTCCCTCCCTTTCTCTCTCCTTATCTTCCTCTTCTGCCTTTATGTTCCCACTGACTTTAGCTGAAGTCCACAGGCGCAGAGCGCAGCGGAGCAGAGGACCGTGGTCAACACACAGAGAGAGGGGTCAGAAATGACAAACCAATTTGGAGGAGCGGTGGATGCTCGGTTGATCGAGCGCAGCCCGGCGAAAGGAGCGTTACGTTGCGGGCGGGCGGGGAGCCGAGGGTGGATGGAGGGCTGGGGAGGGGGGTGATGAGTCCTGCCTTGGGGATGCAGAGAGAGAGAGGGAGAGAGAGAGAGGGAGAGCGAGGAAAAGAGGGAGAGATGAAGTGGGGTGTCTTGCGGAAAACATGGAACTGGATCTGGCTCCTAAATGTCTGGAGCGAGGGCTCCACCTGCCGTGTGAAACACACAGGGGTTCCCAAACTTTTCACGGCAGGAGGTTTTAGACAGAGCACATACGACCCACCAGTTGATTAGAAGTGTGTTGTTTGTTTGTTTGTTTGACATGACCTGGGTATGATTGCATAATTGTTCCTCAGGATGACAACAATATGTAGGCATATTGGCATACAGTTCATTGTAACATTGTCAGCTAAATAGAAATAAATAATGTACATTTTAGGTTACTCGTCTTGGCCTCCCGGAACCCATGTCTCATTATGGTCCCTGGATTCCGGTTTGGAGTTTCGAAAGCCATGAAAGATGGACTATTATAATTCAGCCTATAGCGGTTTGCCTGGTAGGTGTCTGCTGGGCAAACCTCACATTGGGACAATTAGCAGCAATGGAAATGTTAAAATAGAATAGCTTATCAAATTAAAATATCGTAATTGGAAATCAATAGGTGTATTTAAACCCAGGCTATATGCGTAAATTATCCTAATTACAAATATATAAAAAGTAAGGACTCATTCAAATTGCAACCTGTTGTTCATGCTTCATGTAGGCAAATACATTACGAATTTTTTTACTTCAATTTTTGGTGTAGATGTTATTTAAGCACCTATATACAATCATTCCTAATAACCTTTTCTTAAGTAATGGTTTCGCAAGGGAGTTTTCGGGACAGGAATTGTGAGATTGGAGTCACCATAATATCTGTGAACATTGTTTGCGGAGTGTCTCTCAGTGAATGTATTACGGGATTACTGTGGCCAGTTCTCTTACTTTAGGGATGAGCCCTCTGGCTGAAGATCAGAGGGTGACATGCGCACTGCACGGAGCGCTCAAGCCCCGGACACAATTCTGGAAAATAAAGCGCGCATGTTGCTTCTTGATATCATGCCGTCTCTGAATAAGCTTTAATGACTTATCCCAACAGAAAGTGTCATCCTTTTTATTCGGTATTGGTGGAGGAGGTGGATGTGCTTGGAGCTCAGTGGGGACCTGTTGATAGCCCACCGGCGAAGCAATGGAGGTGAGAGGAGGCTTTCTGCGATAAGCAATTGTTAACTGTCCGTGATGTCCGTGTGTTCGTCACAGTGATAGGTCTAATGTGCCTGGGTCATCTTTAAATTAATTACCACATGGCCTTGTTGATTACATATCAAATTAGTAACTAATGCGTCTGCGTAATTACTGTAAATCATTCATCTGTAATGTGATTTTTGTATTTATACAGCAGTCAGTATCGCTTTAACATCAATGGTATAAAATAAAGATTTCATTAGACTTGCCGTGAAGGGCATATAAGTACTGCGATACCTCTACTGCCTATCAATGCCCCTTAATTAGATTTCAGATGAGACGTTGTCATTTCCAGCCCATCGTTTTGCTAAATCAAATCATGCTATTGGTATCATGCTTTGATGCTATACAGGCTTCCCCTCCAGCCAGAATGGTTGGGAGGCCATGTGTCGCTTTTAATTACCGTCACCAGCTGATAAAGCCTTTTGGTGGAGATTTAAATCCTGCTAAAGAGCATTAGTTGACAAGCAAGGCACTTGCAAACAAGCGTGGCAAGGGCCTTGGAAAGGAGTATGGAGGTGAAAGGATCAATTATAAAAAAAACAGATGTAAATTGGTACACTAATTAGTCCTTGCACATGAGAAGGGGGAGAGTCAAATCTTGTTATGCCATTATTTTAATGTATCATGTATCAAAAGAGATATCTTCAAGGAGAAAGAGGAAAAATAACCTTGGAACTTTTAATATATAAATACTGTCAACTTTCTCAAGTACATTGTCTGTCAAATTGAAATCTGTACAAAGTTATGTTAACACAGAAACCTTTTGTTTTGTTGTTGCTGCAGGTGCCAAAAAGAGAAGAATGACATTTAACTGAGTCAGAACAACACATTTCATCTGAACAACTTGTCTACAATGGAAATCATGGGTACTTGTATTCAGTGATCTGCATATGTATTGCTCCCTTTTAAACCAAACACATTTCAGTAACTGTTAAACGTATTACTGACAGTCCCCGCCACCACCATCATTAGAGGCTTACAATTAAGGTGTCAGGCATGGTTGCTGCAGCCAGGCAGGAGAAAATAGTTACATGTGCAGGTGGCGCAGGACTCACTGTCTGATCGGTAGTCAAAACTTTGTGGTGAAGAGTTTATAGGGTCTTAACCTCCTGCCACATGTGATTACTGCAGTTGTGACTTGCTCTCATTAGTTCCTGCTGCAATAAATAAACAAGGGCAATATGACCTGACGTGACATATCAGCTTTTGCTTTTCCGTGTTGCAGAATGGATTGCACATCCACTCTTATTATCTTAAAAGTTCCGTGATGTTTTTTTGTGTAGCTTTCTTAGCATACATTTTTACCAGGAGATTAAGAACAGAATATTTTTGACATTTGAAGACTTTGGTATGGAAATAACTCACATTCTTGTGGCTATGGTTAAGGGGTTTATTTTTTCACAAATACAGTTTCTGTTCACTCAAATATCCCAAAAATATGTGTCATATTATCCTTATCACTGTGTGGATCAGTGCTGACAGAGAAGGTCATTCTAGATTCTAAAGACGTGTTTAAAGTAACTTTGAATGATAAGTCATTTCTATTTTCCCATTGGTCTCCATAAATGAGTGACCTTTCATTGCTTATTATTAAAGATGTGGGCTTTGTAAGGGGTCACAAAGCAGCGAGATGTGAAGAAGTCCTGTTTCCGAGTGACACAAAGTATACAATGTCTCTGCAGATACTCATTGTGCCTTGGAAGCTGTGGAGAGACTTCAAGCCAAACTTAAGGAGAGAGGAGAAGCCCCCACACAGGAGAAGCTCTCCCTGCTCAAGACGGTCCTGCAGAGCCCCCTGTTCCATCATATACTCAGTTTACAGCAAGCTCAGCGGAAGCCCCCGGCAAAGGTACAGCGTGAGCATGACTGTGTGGGTGTTAGCTGTATATTGAATGGTGGGGAAGGAGCCGGAATTATTCCCAAAATACTGAATGCAGGAACCAAACTGGATGACTAATCAGCTTACCTAAGCTTACCACTAAAGCCCTGAGACAGACAGAGAGAGAGAGGCAGGAAGGTACACACGTCTATATACTGTAACATGTTGAGTCTGCAAAAGTCATCCGAAGAGTGTCACAAGTTTTGAGTTTATGTCTGTTTCTGAAGTGTCAGCTTGTCTAGTTCATCATATCCAGTTCACATCTACTGTACAGTTGTTTTTTTTTGTTGCAATTTATCAGATAATCTAGGTATGTATTGTGTTCGTCAGTTAATACCTTTTCTCAACATTTCCTCTACTTGAGTACATTTTTAAGGTTTGACTTTGAGTAATTCCAATTCCTGTTATTTAATACTTTTACACAAAAAAACAGTTAACTTCTACATTTGTTTACGGATTAAATCTAACGATATTAAATGAAATCAGCAAACAAATAATATAAACATTATGATATATTATAATAGGTCAATACTTGAACAGTATAGTTAATCAAATCAAATCAAATCAAGTTTTATTTATATAGCACATTTATAAACGATTTTTGGTCGAGCCAAAGTGCTGTACATATAATAAAAATAGCCTACAGTAGAGACACTTTACAGCAAATACAACAGCACAGATTGTTCAGAATATCAGTATGAGAAAAACGACACCCTCTATCCTTAGTATCTTCCGGAAATCCCTTTTTCACTTTAAGTATAGTATAGTATATTGAGTTGAGGTTTGATAACACCACAAAGTGGGCCCTTCTCCCCTGCTCAATAAGTGTTAGGGTACTCTTCAGTGTAACAAAGCCGACCACAGTTCAATCTTGTTTTTGAACAAGCTGTACGCTTAGTGCTTCGCCTAGTTATTTTTGCTTTTTATAGGGATTTGGTATTTTTGCTATTTCATCTTGAATGCATGCTCACGATCTGGCACCTGTTTGCTATGTAGGGTGACGCCTAGAAACGTCTGTAACACAGCAAAACAAAACTAAAATACATTCAGAAGGCCCTGCAAATGGGTCATAAGTGGTGATTGAGAAGAATTTATGTTGTATGAGTCTATACATTAGTGGCCCAATAGACAACCTTTACATGTAACAGTACATGCTGTATTGCTACTTCGCCCTAATTCAAACATCTGAGTACTTATTTAACCGCTGTTGTAGTGGTAATGATCATGGCTTTGTAATCGTCTGTTGTGGTGTGCTTTAATGGGCTGACCCTATAAGCACCAAACCACAGTCCACACACAAGGATCATTACATTACTGGAGCTGTGTGTAGTGTCAGCTCGTAACCAATTACTATCTCTACATTCCAGGAAACATGGCACTGCTGGATCATGTCAATGGTTTCTGTATTTTTATCAAGACAGACACTGACATTGTTTTTTGTTGGTTCACGATCTTGTTTCTTGTCAAACTTACAGTGGCAAAAACAAAATAGGAGCAAATAAATTCAGGTTTTGATATAGCTCTTTCTTATATTCTGCTACTGCTACTTCAACAGGTGTTACAATTGTTAGAATGAAATAGCATACAGATAAAAAAATATGTATCTTCCGGAAATCCCTTTTTCACTTTGAAACAGAAAACCTTAAAGACAAAAGGGAACAATCTTGTGGTTACTTGCTATTGAACAAAAGCACTTATCTCAGAACCCTGTATTCTTGCTTTCCTATCTTTTTCTCTCTTTCTGCTCAATTTTAAAACCATCTCTCTGCACTTATCCGGCTCCTCACCCTCCATATCTTTGTTCTTCAATTAATGTCTCCACCACTCTCTCAATCCCCTTCCCCATTTCTTTATCTCCCTCATCCATTTACCTCCCAATCTTTATGTCCCCCTTCCCTCGAATCCTTAAATCCCTCACTCATTAATTTATTATCTCTCCATCCCACCAATTTATTTTACATGCTTCATCTCTATTTTTACACTTGTATCCTCTTATCTCAACATTTGTGCTATCTTTCCATTCGGTATTGCTCCTTCAATCCTACCAGGGGAAGATTTCCAAATCTGTTTCCATGAACTGTGGCCCCTGCCATGGCATGGCACTAGACCTGAAGGCACTGAGCCACAGTGACTCCTACACATGGGCCATAGAGAACCGAGGCACTGCCAGATCCATCTATAGCGACAACAGCCTCACTTCTCTGGGCTCCCCGGATCTGTCCTTCTCAGACGTCTACTCAAACAACTGCATTCACACTGAATCCCCAGTAAGTAAAACACCCATTGTAGACATGAGGACCTAGGAGGTAGTTTGGTTATAAGCAATTCATTGTTGAAGTCCATGCATGAACTTAGTGTTTCCACATTGTTGTTTTTTCCTTTCAATTGTAAAATACGCCAGATTACCATTCCAAATGTCACATTTTACATTTCAGAATATAACATTACATTATAAACTCAAGCACAGTTGGATGTTACATTGTCTGGTGGTTTCAGCTAAGAGCCTGTTAGGCGTTAGAGGCAGGGCCGCTAACTCTATGTCACATGTGTCAAACTCAAGGCCCGGGGGCCAAATCAGGCCCTTGGTGGATTTAATTTCGGCCCGCAGGATAATTTTTCATTAATATTCGATCTGGCCCGCCGGTATATTGCACCTTCACTCAATCCTGAGGATTTCCTCAGCTCAGAGCCTGAGCCCAAACATTGATGAACTTGCACCCGAGACGAGATGCCAAGTATCTGGCTTGAACTAGCATCACAGAGCAGCACACTGAGTTTCAATGGATGTTTCCTTTTGCACTTTTCTTCTTGCGACAACAGGGCATGTTTGGTTTGTTCTTTGAGGGAAATCGTTTTTTTGAAGCTGTTGTTGGCCTGTGGAGAAATGTAATCATAAGACATGACTCCAGAAAAGTGGCAGATAGAGCCATAAGAAATGAATGTAACTGATTATTTAATGTGTAATGTTGTTTTTATAGGCAATTATTTAAGCTTTGTTAGTTCCAGGTTTAATATGTGCAATAAGTTATTTCAATACGTTTTGGAATAAACATTGAACCAGTCTGGCCCTCGACTAGTACCCATTTTTTTATTTTGGCCCACTGTGTATTTGAGTTTGACACTGCTCTACAGTATGTCATTTAAAGTTTGCTTTTGTTTTACACATGACATTTATTTTGTAGTACTGCACTCCCCCTCGAATCTCCCGCACCATGTCGATGGGTAGAAACCTGTCTGCTATCGCCCATGAGGTACAGTTGGCTCACATGTGAAGTGGTAATGTAGAGCTGTAAATGTGTGTCTGTGGATATAGATAAGCAAGGGAATCAAACTGCTTTAGCACTCCAACCTGTTAATGGTGTTTCAACATTTAATTAAAATAGATTTTCTCTCTCTCCCTCCCTCCCTTTTCTGCTCCCTTGCCTCTTTTTCTAACCCTTGCCACATCAGAGGCGTCACGTGGAGATGATAGAGCTAATCAATGATGGGAAAGGACTGGGTTTTGGAATCATTGGCGGGCGGAGCACCGGAGTCATGGTCAAGACCATCCTTCCTGGAGGAGCTGCCGGACGGGTAAATCCACCTGCCAATCAATCGCATAGCCAAAACTTAAATAGCCAGTTAAAGGAGTAGTTAAGCATTTTGTAAAATATGCTTTTTTACTTTCTTGACAGAGTTAGTAAGAAGATTGACAGCATCCCTATTATATCATAATATACCTTAAGTATAAAGCTGCAGCCAGGAGTTGGTTAGCTTAGCTTAGCCTATAATATTTCCCTTCCTTATTGATGAGTTAAATCTTTGAAGGAACATACTGAAACTTTGTATTATAGTTATATGTGTTATGTCGAATCTGCAGAATGTATGTAAATATATTTCACAAAAAACAGTTGTTGTTGTTGTAATGGGGCTCCCTAGGATAAGCACCTGCGTAGCGGAGATCAAATCCTGCGCATCGGGGATACAGATCTGGCAGGCATGAACAGTGAGCAGGTGGCACAGGTGAGGTATCAATTGAAAATCAATTCTATATTAGATGAATTAGCTCTGTTTTTTTGTGTGTAATGGTAATTGAATTGATTTATTTAAAACAAGGGACAGTGTACATTAATCAACATATTAAAAACATGTAAATGTACTCGAATTAGCCAAAAGGCTAGTTTTCACCGATAGTCCCTTTGCCAGATGGTGATAGGCATCCTAAAAGCAAGAATAAAAATACCACTACATTGTTATACAAAATAAATGTACATATTTACAATAGACGACATCACTGAATACAGGTAAGGAGCAAGTCATAATAATAATGAAAACATTCACAATAGCACACGCACACGCACACACACACACACACACACACACACACACACACACACACACACACACACACACACACACACACACACACACACACACACACACACACACACATATACACCCACACATCAGTGCTGACACTGTTGGTTTTCAATGAGCCACTTTTTAACACTGTGCTTGAATGAGTAGTAGGATGAGGACTCTCTTATAGATGGTGGTATTGAATTCCATTGATGGGATGCGTGGAATGAAAAGACAGCCTGGCTAAATGCACTTTTCCTAAATGGGATAGTGCAGTCTCCCCTAGCCGCACCTCTAGTAACCCTGGTTGAGGTGGACTTTAGGCTGATGAAGCCAGCCAGGGGAGGAGGAGTCAACCCACGAGTGATCTTATAAACTAAGCAGATGATTTTGTAAACTATGAGATTTTCCCAGCTGAACAGATTATACTTTTTAACAATGTGACAATGATGATACCGGAATGGCTTTTTGTCTAGTGTTTTGAGTGCTTGTTTATACAGTGATTCCAGTGGTTTTAGAGCTGTAGAGTGTGCATTAGACCAGCTTATCAGACAGTAGTTGATGTGGGAGAGGACCATTGAGTGAAGGTATAGCTTTGCTGCTGCAGTCGATAGGAAGTTCTAATGTATCTGAAATTTGACAGATTGAACTTTACTTTATTGCAGACCTTTTTGATGTGGGTTTTGAAACTGAGGTTTGTGTCAATGTGTACTCCTAAGTACTTGTACTCAGAGACAACCTGTAGTCTCCTTCCAGAAAATAAAACATCTTGTTCTGTAACAATGCTGTGGCCCTTGGAAAAGAACACACACACTGTCTTGGAAATATTTGGTTGCAAACAATTGTTGTTAATGTGTGCTTGAATAACAGATACAGTGTAAATATCTTGTCACTGTGTGTATTCACTGTTAGCCCATAGTTAGCTCGGGGAAGTGTGCCATATTCTTTTATCAAAAGTGTTTCGAGGACACAAAAACTGTATTTTCTAAGAAAAAAAGGACATCATTGATTTAGCAAATATATTTCTGGTTAACATTTAAGAGCAGCACACAGCTTTTTCTGAGCTATTCTCTATAAACATCCAAGCCTGTTTCAAGGAAGTCATCTGTTATACAGTATGCTTTACCATCTTTGCAGCTCTCTGTTTTTTTATGTTACCTATTTCTTAATTGCAATACACTTTTTCTTTTCATCTCTTCACAATTGACCACCTGGCCCAGGTTCTGCGAAATGCTGGCACCAAGGTGAAACTGCTCATTGCCAGAGATATTACAAAGGACAATCACCTCTCCTCTCCTGCCCTCAGCCAGGACAGCCTGGACGGCAAGGTGTGTGTGTGTGTGTGTGTGTGTGTGTGTGTGTGTGTGTGTGTGTGTGTGTGTGTGTGTGGGTGGGGGGGTGTATGTGGGTGTGTGTGTGTCTGTTTGACAGCACATCATTAAAGTCATACAGAAACGTTTCATATAATTGGCTTATCAGTGACATTAAACATGTAATACATTATTCCGTTAAACACAAAAATGGTTAACTGGATTCATTATTGTCTGTGCTTCCTTCCAGCTCAATGACTTGAAGGATGACTATGATTTCAGTGTGCAGTTCACTAAGAACAGTCAAGGCCTGGGATTCACCATTTCTAGCTACATAGGTGACCTAAACTCAGGTAATGACATCTACCGATTTAAAATGTATTAAAGAATTGTCTTAGCATTATTCCAAGCTAAATTCACTTAAAAAAACTGGAAAACGAACAGTATATGCAATTATATAAACCTGCTTAGTATAAGGTATTATTGCGTGATTATGATTGATTATGTATACATTTAGAGCTACATTCACTTAATCAAGTCGAAGTTTGACCACATTTTGTCTCTTGTTTTCCTTAGCCTACAGCGCTGGTGTGATAGTGAAGAGCATAGTGAAGGGTAGCACTGTGGATCAAGATGGACGCATCAACATCGGAGACATCATTCTGTCTGTGAGTTCCACTAAAAACAACAGATGGCTTTTTATTGAGCCCTCTGAAGAAATACCTTGTCTCCAAAAAAAAAGGCATCTCAAAATGTGCGCAGTTTGCAGCTTTTAGTAGTTACCTACAAACCAATTTGGGTTTTTAAAAGCTGATGAAGAGGAATCCTTATAGTTTTTCTTTTACTTCCATCCATCACTTCATCATCTGATGCTTTTACTGCTTTCAATCATGCTCTGTTTTTTATTTTGTATTAGTATTGATTTACTTTCCCATTTCATTTTCCTCCATACCGTCCACTTCATCCACTAAAATGTTGCTTCTGTTTCCATCATACCTGAGCATTCATCCTGGCTCTTTTCCTACTTTTACATCCTGTCCCCTCCCTCAGGTGGACGGGGTGAGTCTGCAGGGCTGCAGTGAGCAGCGGGCCATGGAGGTGCTGAGGAGGACAGGCCCCCTGGTTAGACTGAGGTTGCTACGGAAGGTGGTCCGTCTGAGTCACATCCTGCCCCCAGTTCCCCCCCTGCATCCCCTCCGACACTCCCACAGCTTTCACGAGGGCAACCCCTACAGGATGGGCCTCAACAAGATTCAAGAGACAGGTGCTTTTTGCTGAGAGAAGGGAACATATTGGCTCAGGGGTATCATAAGGGAATTGCTTTTGAAGTTGACGAAATAGAGAACATGTGATTTGACAGCATGCCCTTACATAAACGTATTATGCAAGCAATCATCCACAGGTGCTACCTTTCACGTCTGTTTAAATAATAACCAACTTATCTCTCTGATATCTGTTCAAACTATAACAATGCTTGCTTGGATGTCAAGTTTTTTTGTGTGTTTGTGTTTGGATCACTGCTCAAAATCTGTTTCCCCATCTTCCAGGAATCTGCTCACTGCGGGAAATCTCCCGGCGAGCAGCATACGCCAACGGACGACCCCGTCACGATTCCAGAAACGGTAAGCCATGCTGCAGTGCAGTCTGGAACTGGATCATGGGACTTAGCCTGATATGCTGATTGGGCTCAGGAAACAGCAATGTGGCAGTGAAGCATGCTCTTTGATGGGAGTCTATTTATAGAGTTGTTCAGTCATGTGTTTATCCAACTCATTCAGTTCATTCCAGATGATTTGTCTCTCGCCCCGCCTGCTTGTATGTCTTTATTTAGACAAGGATTTTTTGGGTTTCATCAGAGAGCACAGCCAAATAAGCACTGATTGTCATGGGGCTTTAATAGACAGACGAGAAATCATTAGTTTGCCAAGAAATCTCAAGATGGTGGGTGTGAATATGCATGTATATGTGCCAGTAGTGGCGTGCGTGCGTGCGTGTGTCTGGTGTGGTGTGTGTGCGTGTGCTATGTGTCTGTTTGTTGTTTCTCTCTAATAAACAGCCAAAGTGATGTTTTTATATGGGATTTTAATATGTAATACTGGGGTATGTAAGGCAAGCAAGGCAAGCAGGCAAGGCAAGGCAAGGCAAGGCAAGGCAAGGCAAGGCAAGGCAAGGCAAGGCAAGGCAAGGCAAGGCAAGGCAAGGCAAGGCAAGGCAAGGCAAGGCAAGGCAAGGCAAGGCAAGGCAAGGCAAGGCAAGGCAAGGCAAGGCAAGGCAAGGCAAGGCAAGGCAAGGCAAGGCAGCAAGGCAAGGCAAGGCAAGGCAAGGCAAGGCAAGGCAAGGCAAGGCAGGCAAGGCAAGGCAAGGCAAGCAAGGCAAGGCAAGGCAAGGCAAGGCAAGGCAAGGCAAGGCAAGGCAAGGCAAGGCAAGGCAAGGCAAGGCAAGGCAAGTTTATTTATATAGCACTTTTCAACACAAGGCAATTCAAAGTGCTTTACAAAAAAATGAAAGAGATTAAGAAAATGGCATTTAAAATCAGTCATTAAAAAGAAAAGGGCTAGAAACAACGCATATGGGATATAACTTGATTTTACTTTGTTTATATGCGCATTTTACAGGTGTGAAACTGACGCCAGCTGAGGAGGAAGACCTGAGGAAGAGGTGGCAGCATGCAGTCGGACGGAGATATGAAGTTATTGTAGGTCTAGCATTCAATATAACATGCAGAGAGAAACCAGTTTCAAAAACTAATAGCATTTTACATATCTACATTTGTATTAACATGTAATGGCCAATTTAAAGAGGAAAAACCCACTTTCTTCCTATTGTGACTCCTACACTTTCACCTTTCTTAGCCATGAAACGTTGCTTCTCTTCATTTGTTTCCCAATCCTCAACCTTATGTCTCTCTTTAAGGTGTGTCAGCTGGAGCGTTTCGGTGAGACGAGTGGGCTTGGCATCAGTCTGGAGGCTCGGGCGGGACATCACTACCTCTGCTCCGTTTTACCCGAGGGGCCTGTTGGTCAAAGCGGCAGGATCTTCACCGGAGACCAGATATTGGAGGTAACCTACTGACACATGGTCCTTTGTTCCAATCGCTTTGCAACTCACTCTTTAGGTATTTTATATAGAGATGATATTTTGGGGGTAAAATAAATATATTTGTAATCTTGTGAATAACTAACAAAAATACCTGACGTTTTCAGCATCATATGTTCGGGTTTGTTGATGCCTTCCATTCAAGCAGATGAAAGCCTGTTCTTTAAAAGTAGTTAGAACAGACCAGAAAGAGAGTCATATTGCATTTTAAAACCTACACAAATATCTAAAACATCACCAGTAAACACGCATACTTAATTCAAGTATGCTGATAAGATGGTGGGGGTGGAGGCCTCAGTGTATTTGTGCTTGTACTGTGTTGGTATAGCTTGCCATCCTCCCACTTTGCTGGGTAAGTTCATGAACCCGCACATATGTCTCATCATGATTAGCACTCTTTTAGCTAAACTTTAAGACAATGTATACAGTACAGTAGCTTTGCTTGCGGTGTAGAAAACACTGAAAACGGGTTTATGTCCTTCTTATCTTTGAGCGCACAAGCAGACACCTGTGCCGCAGCTCAACCCTTTGATCTTTGTTAGACAACATCTGCATGGAAACGCCATTGTTCATCTTTTTATTATCCTTGCTTGCTTAAGTTACGGCTTGCAGCTTTAATTGTTCATGCTGTGACTTGATGTACTGTGTCCACTAATTGCAAACCCGAAAATAAAATATCAGTAAAAACCTTTAAGGGCTGTGTTGCAGGTTTTTCCATGAAACACAGATACTGTAGTCAAGAGTGACAGACAGCTGTGTTTTATTCTAGTATTTTTCAAAAGCTAAAAGCATGACATTGCAAATCCCTGACCATAGGAATATATGGAACAAATATTGTATTTATCTTCATGGCAGGTGAATGGGATCCCTCTAATTGGAGAGACGCATAAGGAGGTGGTAAATATTCTGAAGGAGCTGCCGATGGATGTTTGCCTGGTGTGCTCTCACATTGTACCGCCTGCAATCCCCGACAGTGATGAGGAGGATGAGAATGATGCACATCTCACCTTGAAAGAGCTACTAGCTGAATTCAATGACAAGGTGAAGGGACATATCGATGAAAGGATACATAGTGGGAATAAGCCTTTGTGGTTAAATATATTCCCTTAAAACAGTATAAACTTGTTATGTTATATCATATTATGCTTGTTACCGTTCCCCTGCGGTTCGAAATGACACCCAAAGATGCCACTGACATGCTCTTTCCTTGTAAATCAATCTTCCTATCTGTGTCTTTTCTTCTTTCTGAACAATCTGTGCTGTTGTATTTGCTGTAGGCTATTTTTATTTTATGTACAGCACTTTAGCTCGACCATAAATCGTTTATAAATGTGCTATATAAATAAAACTTGATTTGATTTGATTTGATTTCTGTGCGACCCAGTTGGACCAGGGCTGTGTCATTCCCTGTCCTACAGCTGAGGACATCACCAAGCGTGGCGTGCCCCCAATGTCCCCTCCCCTGGCCATGTGGGAGAGAGACGCTCAGGTGGTCGAACTGGAGAAAGGGGAGTTAGGACTTGGCTTCAGTATCCTGGACTACCAGGTCAGAGACATGCCTCTGAGCCTTTCTACAAATAGAACAGACTGGAATAGGCTGCAGTCTGAGAATATCAGCATCAGGTTGTCTAAGATGAAGACTCTAGAGAAGCATGTGGACTTCTTCTAATCTGCATATTTGTGAGCTCAAGTAGAAACTGTAAAGTGCAGTGTCCGTTGCTGTTATAAATGTATAAATGTATAGCAATAATCACTTGTTGCCCCTCTATGAGACCAGCCAGTTCATTTACTTTTACACTGGTCTCTGTTTTTTTTTTGTTTACATTAATTTATATTCCATTCAATTCACAATGTATCTCATGTATGTCGATTATCCAACCAGCATATCCTTATGTCTGACTCTAGGATCCAGAAGATGCCACTAAAACTGTTCTGGTAATCCGGTCTCTGGTGCCTGGGGGTGTAGCAGATCGAGATGGTCGCCTGCTGCCTGGTGATCGACTCATGTTTGTTAATGAAAGTGACTTGGAAGGCTCAAGCCTGGATTATGCTGTGCACGTGCTTAAATCCACCGGCTATGGCCCTGTCTGCATTGGAGTTGCCAAACCACTGCCGGTATGTAAAGAGATGTACATTTTTGGCAGAAAAGTCCGTTCTTTTTTCAAATTCACAATTAAAAACCTCACTCTAATGCAAGGTATTCCTGCTCATTTAATGGCTTAATACACCCAGAGTTAACTAAGGGGAGAATACTATACTATAAATGGTGCTGTATGGCAAAGTCTTAGACAGTGGACACGTTTATATTGTCATACAGTACAGTATACAGTATATCATATTGTGGGCTGCAGCGTATACAAATATTCAAATGCAGCTTTCTTCAGGATTGACCAAAATACATTCATTTCCACAGATATGCAAGACAATTATCTAAATGTGTGTTTCCTTGAGGGTACAGTATTCCTTCGTCTTGTTGTGGACTGTGGCTTAGTAACAAGGAGCAGAGAATCCAGTTACAGGCCATCTGAATTTTTAATGTAGCTGAGAGATGAACACAATGCTCGACCACAGTACAGATGGAGAGAGAAGGCTAGAGGAGAAGAGGGTGTCTAATTTACAGTCACCTTGTTTAGACTGTTTGCTTCCATGTGAATTCACTTGCACATAAAACGTTTTTTTTTATTTTGGGAATTTTGTGTTGTCAGCTGGAACTGTGTGGCGGCCTAACGCCCATCTCAGAGAGGAGCTTGCGGACTTCTTATGATGACACTGACAGCCAAAGTCAGATCAACCTGCTAGCTGAGGCAGCGGAGGCTAACAGCAACACTTGGAACTCTGAGGACAACAGCATCATCGGGCCGTATTACTCTACAACGGTATGTCATACAACACAAAATGAATATAACTTTAAAAAATGGATTTATTAAAATTGCTGGACAGTTTCTGGTTGCTTTTTTCTGGGGAAAGAAAAACAGGACAACTTTGGTCCACATGCAAATTGAGGTCAAAGGTGCTATACTGCATAATTGTTCCAATTATTTGTAAACACGTTTTGTATATACTGTGTGCAGAGCATACTGTAGATCTGAAATAAATAGAACTGTAACTGTCCTCTAAAGAGACAAGTTTAAATTGCTAAAACACATACAGCAGTCTGAATCTTGTTGTCCATCACACAGGAAGCATTGCTCATTAGCATGCAAACTGGAGATCTTTAGGTAGCCATTTTAGGTTCCTCTAAGGGAGATTACTATGATAGTGTTTGTTCTCTCAGTGAATGTTCTATACAGAGGAGCTTAGAGCCATCTGTATCAGTATCACTGGGTCAGGTAGTATAGAGAAAGTGCTCAGTGTCAAATACATGTTCCTCCTTTGTGGTCTCAACTCCTTTTGTACTAGCCTTTGCTTAATTACCAACAATGGCCTCTGAATGAAAAGTATTTACTGCTTGTACGACATAAACAACCGGTCTAGCACAAGGGCATACAGTTCTGCCTTTATATATCCCAACACACACACACACACACACACACACACACACACACACACACACACACACACACACACACACACACACACACACACACACACACACACACACACACACACACACACACACACACACACACACACACACACACACACACACACACACACACACACACACACACCAGATCCAGAGCAGGTATGTCAAGTGTCAGTGTGTTCTCATCAAAGACCGGCTTGTTGCAGAGGCAGCGTCAGAACCTCAGTTCTGCTTGTACTTTCTGTGAAGGTTCAAAGACAATCTCCCTGTTGCACTTTTTCTTTGTGAAGTGCCCAGGGGGACCAAAGAAGCCTGCCTTCCTGCATGTTTTACATCTCATAATTACCCCAAAGGCCTTCACCCTGCAGAGTTCAATTTGTTTTAATCTATTTGGAAATTATTCATTCATAAATGTATCTTTGCAATATGGGAGACTTTTTAAGAACTTGTACAATTGTAGTTTGTGTCAAAGCTTATTTTGTGGGGCTGTCCTTTCGCACAGCGGTACTTTAAGATAAATGCTAATGTCAGCATGTTCACAATTGCAGTTCTAACAAGCTGATTTGTAGCCTATAGTACAGTAGGTTCAAGTTTTCCATGTTTTCCATTATAGTTTAGCGTGACTTCATTTGCCTTTTAGCAGGAAACACAAAGTCAAAGTGAGGCTGTAGAGCTGGAGGAAAAGCCATTATAATGTTTCCTCTGGGGACCATGACTGTAGAAAGTAACACAGCAACCATCCACTAATTCTGTATTTGTTACCCCAACTTCATGCCCTCACTCATAACCTCTGTCGTCTCCCTCGTAGGAAAACCGGCTGCGGCATCGTTTCAACATGATGGAAGACTACGACAGGCAGCAAGCACCACCTCTGCCCCCCCGCACCAGCTTTGAGAGGACAATCACTGTTGTCCGGGGCAACCGTAGCCTTGGTATGTTCTACGTCTTTCTCATGGTGATGGTGTCTTGGTGTGTGTACGTCGCTGGCATGGCGCTAATAACGCTAATTGGCGGTGTTGATGACGACTGCGCTGAAGAGGAGTGGTGAAATGATGTGCTCCTCATACCTGAGCGAGGAGATGATTTCTGTGCATGTGTGTGTGTGTCTGTGCATGTGTGTTTGTCTGATAGGCTAGTATGGTTGTAAATGGATGGTCAAAGTAATGTGAATGAATATGAATGAACCTTAAAACCAATGAGCATATTAACATTTGATATTTGTTTTTATACTCTAGTGTTGAGATTATATTAGTTATTTAAAAATGTCAGGGAGTTAACAACGGGGTGTAAGGCACTCCTACACTTTCATTTAAGGGCACTGTGCAAACTAAGTATAAGAAAACGAACGTATTTGTATTCTGGAAACGTGCTCTAATAAGGCACCGCACTACTTGTGTATGCGTGAAAGTTTAACATTATGTTAATTTCCAAAGGTAGAGAAAATCAAGGTAATAACCTACAGTCTGTGTGTCACTGCATGTGTTAGTATTTATCTGTTTATAACAGTGTAGGTCTTCCTGTTAAGATATGTATTGTAGCACGGTTTTCTGGACATCCACATGTGGAGGGTTTACAGATTGTCTGTGTTAATTTGTTACTCATGTTAATTTAAATGTATTCAAATGTAAGGCAGAGTTATGGTCTGTATCTTTAAGGCCCAAATATTTGGGATTTTTATGAGCAATATTTTTAAAGATCTTTTTGCACTTCTTTACATCCTTCCTATTGTTAGGTGCCATGGTCAATTCTATCCATCGGGCAACTAATGACTGAATGCCCAATTTTGATAACATGAGACATGCTAACAGTGTATGGTTGGTTTGTACTTCAAGGACTGTATGGGTTTTAGAGCAGGTTGTTAAAGGAGAAGGTTTGATGGATTATAATGAGGTCTTTGTTTCTTGCCTTGCACGTCTAAAAACACGAGTATATACAGCCTGGTTAGAAGTCTTTGTTCTTGAATGGTGTGAACCTAATGCATTAACATGAAGAAGTTCCGTTGAGATCAGAAGAAATAGAATTTCATATAGAAAATGTCATCTCGGAATTTACCATTAATTATTAAAACACTTTCATTAGTCTGTAATAAAATTAATGTATTATGATGATGCAGTGTTGTAGGAAACAAATACCTTTGGATTTAGAGACATTCATCATTATTACTTCAGACTTGCTCTCATGTCTTTGAAATGTCTTCTGTCTGTCTTATCAGCGTCAGTAGCTGTGTCTCCAAACGATTGTTTTCCATGCACTATGATTGTATTGTAATTTGAATGTTATACAAAAAGCAATAAACTATTTATTTGATCAAAAATAAGCACAAAGTAATTTCTTTGACCATTTTCAAATTATGACCATAGTGTTGTGGATGTGCGTAGTCCTCCATTAGATGTCATTGTAGGGTGCAAACGCCATATTGTAGACTAGACTTCCTAATTTGTTGTAGCCTTCCCTGTCTACAGTGTGTGTGTGTGTGTGTGTGTGTGTGTGTGTGTGTGTGTGTGTGTGTGTGTGTGTGTGTGTGTGTGTGTGTGTGTGTGTGTGTGTTGGTGAAGTGTGCACGTGTGCGTGTGTGATGCCTGATTTACCTGCTTCTGCCTGTTTGCATTAAAGTAGTGTTTGTGTAATCCGCCTAGTGTCAGATTTGATAATGCCAAAGTCAGGTGTTTGTGCGACTTGCATGTGTTCACCCTCCAGTCACCTGTGGCCTTTGACCTGTGTGTGTGTGTGTGTGTGTGTGTGTGTGTGTGTGTGTGTGTGTGTGTGTGTGTGTGTGTGTGTGTGTGTGTGTGTGTGTGTGTGTGTGTGTGTGTGTGTGTGTGTGGTGTGTGTGTGTGTGTGTGTGTGTGTGTGTGCACCTTAATGCGAGTTTGGCTGAGGGTGATGCTTTGTAAATGTCAAGCATGTGTCGCCATGTTTGTGTGCTAATCTGCCTAGTGTCTGTCTTGATTATGCTGATTATGCCACTGTCAAGTGTTTGTTTGGACGACTGTCTGTCTCTTTGGCATGCAATCAAAGCAGACTTAGCCAACCCTCCACTCACCTGTGCCCATGTGTGTGTCTGTGTACGTGTGTGCGTGTTGGCAGGGATGTCGGTGAGTGCTATCAAGGACGGCTCAGGCATGCTGGTGCGCAGCGTGGTCCAGGGGGGCTCTGTTAGCCAGGATGGCAGGCTGGGGGTGGGGGATGCCATCTTGGCCATCAACAGAGAACCTACCTCCAATCTGACCAACGCCAGGGCCAGAGCCACGCTCCGCAGACACTCTGTCATAGGGCCAGAGATAAGGTGAGGAGCCGGTCACTGTCTAACAACATTACCATTTAAGAGAGTTTTGCTCTGAGCTGAAAATAACACAGGTGATGCTTACTGTTACATCACAGTTTAGCTCGACAACTCTATAAAAGCTCTTATGAGCAGTTTAAAGGTCCCTATTATACTGTTTTTCATTACTTTAATATAGGTCTCAGATATATACAAAACATGTCTCTGAAGTGTTTGGCTGAAACACCAAACAGATCATGCATTGTAGCATCCCACAATCCCCTCTGTTTCAGCCCTGTTTCAAAAGTGCTGATTCTCTTGTTACTTTAAATGGAAATAAGGAGCCACTCCCCACGCCCCTCTGAGAGATATTTGGTTAAAAAGAACATAATTGGCCAAAAAATAGTTTTGACATCATAAAGTGGCCAAAATCTGATCAGCTCATTTTCAGGCAGGTTTTTATATAAATGGATCAGGACAAAAAGTGAGCGAATCTTTTTTCCTGAAACGTTCAGAATCTCTTTACACAGAGGGGACACATGTTGATGTATAAAAGACACGAAAAAGTGGATTTTGCATAATAGGTGACCTTTAAAGGATTATTTTGTCGATCTCAAACTGATTTTTAAATATTAGCAAAGTAATCCTTTGCATTCTATCCTCTCCATCATTGAACTTCCTCTGAATCACTTCTACTCAAAAATCTTCAGACTGTGTTCAGACACACTGGATGTGCAGCACTGTGCGTCACCCTCTCTACAGCGGCTAAAATGATGCTTCATATCCCTTAATTGTTGCAGAGAAACCCTATGGCTCTGACGCCCCACATGGCGCCATCAAGTAGTATAGTCACAGCACTACATGATTTTCTAATGTTGACAGTAGCAGGGCAGAAATTCTTTAGTTTTAATTTGTTTTTAGCTAAACACATGAATTGATGCCGTGCTGTTACTGGGCCTTTTTCACAGCAGACATTTAAACTTGGCATGGTAGTACATGCCTACATGGCACAGGTGTTGCTAATAACATCAAAGATGGCTTCATTCCCAGTGAGTCATGACACTCCGGCATCGGTAAGGACCCTGAAAAAAAGCAGCTAAGTAGAATTCTGTCTTCATTAGTTTCATTGTTTAACACCTGTGCTTTTACTGCTGGGACATGTCAAACGGCCTTCTGGGAAAAGGGCCTATAGCTTAAAAACCACCAGATACTGTATGTTCACTTAATCTGCCTAATTACTGTAGATATCTGCTGAGGCTGGAGTTGGGCAGAATTGTTTTGGATGAACAAATCTTAACCGAGCTAGCTTGATGGTATTGGAACATCTGTTGCATATAAAAAACATATAATGTAAATATACCATCAGTGCAATCTGACCAAAGCTTTATATTTCTCAAGTGCACACAGTGATGCGCCTTTAACAGCGGTCTCACAATCTTATATTTTGTAGTTTCTAATTAAGCTGATACTGTGTCTCTTAAATGTTACACATCACATGGTATCCTTGCTGTTTATATATTCTGGGGTTGTAAGATCTTGGAAATTGTAAACGGGCTCAGTGGGCACAACTAATGGCACTAAACCACATTACATTAACAGCATTAAAGTAGGATATGTGAGTGTCACATTTTACTCTGATTCCAGTAAGTTATGTAGCTCAGTTATTGATTACACACATACACTGAACAAAAATATAAACGCAACACTTTTGTTTTTGCTCCCATTTTTCATGAGATGAACTCAAAGATCTAAAACATTTTCTATATACACAAAATAACCATTTCTCTCAAATATTGTTCACAAATCTGAACAAATCTGTGATAGTGAGCACTTCTCCTTTGCCGAGATAATCCATCCCACCTCACAGGTGTGGCATATCAAGATGCTGATTAGACAGCATGATTATTGCACAGGTGTGCCTTAGGCTGGCCACAATAAAAGGCCACTCTGAAACGTGCATTTTTGCTTTATTGGGGGGGTCCGAAAACCAGTCAGTATCTGGTGTGAGGGGTAGGGTTAGGGGTAGGGTTAGGGGTAGGGGTAGGGTTAGGGTTAGGGTAATGTTGTGAGTCGAGTGGTCCATGGTGGTGGTGGGGTTATGGTATGGGCAGGCTTATGTAATGGACGACGAACACAGGCCACTCGATTCACAACATTAACCTAACCCTAACCCTACCCCTAACCCTACCCCTACTCCTACCCCTCACACCAGATACTGACTGGTTTTCAGACCCCCCCCAGACACCCCCCAATAAAGCAAAAATGCATGTTTCAGAGTGGCCTTTTATTGTGGCCAGCCTAAGGCACACCCGTGCAATAATCATGCTGTCTAATCAGCATCTTGATATGCCACACCTGTGAGGTGGGATGGATTATTTCGGCAAAGGAGAAGTGCTCACCATCACAGATTTTTTCAGATTTTTGAACAATATTTGAGAGAAATGGTTATTTTGTGTATATAGAAAATGTTTTAGATCTTTGAGTTCATCTCATAAAAAATGGGAGCAAAAACAAAAGTGTTGCGTTTATATTTGTGTTCAGTGTATATATTCACTTACCCTTATGTCATAGTTTAAACACGTCTTTACTTGAAAAGCGAGAAAAACTGTTCTTAGTTTAAAGAAAATGTAGAAAGGTCCTATGGGAATGTGGAGAGCCATCAACCACTGAAGAAAAAGTTTAATTGAATACTGCTCATATTTTCCTAGATCTACCCATCTATGATCATATCTAGATGATATTGACAGTGTGTGTGGCCCGAATGAGTGAGTATTTGTAGATCATACAAATAAATATGTGCTGGTCACAATCATGACTTTCACAGCATCATCACATATAAACGATCTCGTCTCACTGCGGATCTCCATTACCACCTTGTTTTGACACTGCAGTTGACTGAGGCGCTGCAGTGATGTTAAATTAGATTAGATGATTACATTCTAAAGATGGCCTGAGGGAAAATTGGGTAAATTATTACTTGTTCTAACATCAGCACTTATGGTTCCACATTGACAATACTTGTTTGGCTGATTGGAAAAGTGCCCCATCTCCTGCACCGTGCTGCCCTGCACAACGCCCACTCAGTGTCTCTCTACCCCTTTCTCCCTCTTTCTCTCTCTCTCTCTCTCTCGTTTGCTTTTACAGGCACACACACACACACAAACTAACACACACACATACACATCCTTTCAATGGTCTAACCTCCAAAAACACATTTTTCCTGCTATGGGAAATATCTCTGAATAATTCATTGCTCATCTCACCTTGAACAGTGCACTTCTGAATAAAAGAGCGTTTTAAAGAGCCCCTCGTAGATGCACGGCACAACACACAAACCCGCACACACACATACTCATACTGCCTCCTCCTGACAGCACTGCAGACAAACTAACAGAGAGTGGAGGCAGATGAGTTGCTTTGGAAGCCTCAGAATAAGACAGACATAGAAGGGTGAGGGCTTGTTGCTATCAAACTGCTTCTGTTCAGATACGACAGGCTGTCCACAAGGCTCAGTCACAACAGCTTAGCGTGGAAGACCTGCATATTCAATCTGCCACTGTGAGTGGAATCAAGCTCTTTAAGGAGATTCGAACACCACGTCTACTGGTAGTGCCACACAAGAATGGAAGTGGGAGTGTTTGGCTTTAACAACGTCCTTGACACTTTCCCAAATGACATTGTTAAGACCGTAGCTCTGACAGATCCTGCTCACGCAAAACACTTTACTATTTCATCCGTCTTGAATCACAAATTGCATCTTGACATTGAAACATGCATTTCTCTGAAATGATTTCATTTTCTTTTCATCTTCTACCAGCTGCAGTACAAGCACTGTTAATGCAGTTGGGCACATCTATAATTGAATAGCACTTACAAACATCTGACATGTAAGACCGCAGCCTTAAAGTTAGTAGTTGTTTATTGATTGTTTTTCAGGTCTCACATTTTTTTAAACAAGTGAATTATTAATTGATAACTAATGATGATTACAACTGTTCAGCATTATTAAACATTACTTCAGTTATATCTAGCTTTCACTTCTGGTATTTTGTGATGCATACATTTTTATGATTATAAATATGATCAATTAATAAAATCATATATCAAAGTCATATTATTCCATTAAAGTAAGTCATCACATAATCCATCAATCTTGTTTGTAGATTTCAAGTGCAATGCCATGTGTCTAATTCCTTATCATATCAGTCACTGTCTGTTGGTAAAAGTTTAATTAATGTGGGATATGGAAACCAAGTATTGGGAAATCTTAAGTCATATTCTAAATGTTTTCACCCTGCCCCGACATTTATTTTCCTCCCCATTTATTTTCCCTCAGCATAACCTATGTCCCAGCCCATCAGGTGGATGAGTACCGCGTCCGTCTGAATTTACCCCCTCTGGCGTCCATCGCAGCAGACAGCGCCTCCTCCTCACCGACCCCGCCAACCCTTTCTCCAGAACCCGGCTCGACCCCGGCGAGATCACCAGGTCCAGTCAGAGCTGCAGTCTCCACTCCAGCTTCATACAGCCTAAAACCCTCTGCCACGGCCAATTTTAAAGCTGCAGATCCAGCAGTAGTCAGAGGCTCTGCTTCATCCAAAGCTTTAATCAAAGGTCCAGCCGCGGTCCCTACCATAACCCCGGCCCCGGACTCAAGGTAATGTAAGATCCAGAGGTCTCAGCCTATTATTTATGGCCACCTAATCCCTCCTCAGGCCCCACAGTGCAAGATAAACCTGCCTCAAGGTTTATTAGACTGCAGGGCTCCAGCTTTATTACATGTTGATGTGTTTGCTGCAGAGAATTCAGACGATGAAATACACTCTATACATTATGCCTGTTGTGAGCTCCGTGTGTTCACCTTAGGGTTTTGATTTTCATAGCAGCTAGTGTTTTTATAACTTTAACACATCACTTACTTCAGTTACCCGGCAGCTTAAGTCACACTAATGATCTGAGTTATTATCTGACACTTTAATTAACCGTATCCATGAAGGAAACAATGTGTTTCACTTCAGTATGCAACCAGCTGAGTTTGAGTCCCTTCCATTCCGTATTTTTCTCTTCTCCATTCTGCTCTCTGGTAAAGGCAAAAGCTTCTCTGAATGTTGAATCTCTCAGTTATATTTAGCTGTTCGCTTATGGATCTCAGTGCTGACTGTCAGCGAAAATGAATTGTTTCGCTTCTGTCTATCCCTGCTTTCGCTCCATCTTCTTGCCTCTGCCTTTCTCCTCCCTCCCTCACTCCCATTTCTCTCTGCAGCCTTTTCTTCACTCTTATCGATATGCTGTCTTTGTGTCTTGCTCTGCTAGTCTTCCCTCTTCACTATTTGTGTCCACATCTGTCTCTCATCTCTCTATTTGGTCTTTTTCTCTTTTCCCCATTTTCCAATCCCCCTCTCCTGGCTGCTCTCTTTCAGCCATGGTGGAACCATTTGTTCTGCCCTCTTCTGTAACTTAACTGGCTATCGGCTCCTGCTGTGCTGATAGCACCACTATCACTCACCTCCATGGGCTTATTACAGCCCTCCACCGTTAAATATATTCATGAAAAATTCTCTCCTTCTCTACCTCGCTTTCTCACTCACACATAAAAAGAGATACTGTATATACTGTATGTTTCAACACACATGCATTAAAATACTACCTTACTGTGAACTCGCTGGCAGAAAATATGTATTTCAGGTGTTTTTGCTCCTAAAGCAGTCATTATCTTTAAGGCCTGGCAATATAAATCACAACTGGCTATGTGTCAAAGTGTGTCATGACTTAAAAAAAGAATAAAGTACACAGAGAATACTTGTTATCCACAGGAATTCTGCCAGTATGAAGCAGACAAATGGTATTTGACTCACAACTTATGGCCTCAAAGTGATTGCTTGTTTTTTTCACCCATTTTCGCAAGATTATTACATGTTGAACAAAGAGAATGACGTTCTGTAATCAACACATTTTCTATTTAATATCACACATTGATTTAATATTATTTCTATTTGCATGTTTTTTTGCCATCAGTTGGCTGATTCCAAAACCTTGCATGAACAAGAAGGAGGGAAACAAAGAAGGACAGATTGTGAAGGAGAAAAGGGACAGGCGTAGCGCAGATGGGAAAATATCACAGCTGGAGGTAGAGACAAAGGTGGACGGTAAAGAAGACGGAGAAGAGGAGCTTCATTTTCATACCACAGTTTCTTGGGATCAGCCTAGAAGGTAGGTGAATCAGTGATTTAATTTGTGTTGCCGTTAGATTTTATTCAGATCTTCCATCCTTCTGCCTCTTTTTTTCTCAAACTCTGCCCATGATGCCTTTTTATTCTTTCTCTGCCAGAGAAGGCTTACTAAAATCCTAGTTTGCTCAAGTTATGTTCACAGCGGGGGAGAGCAACACAGAGCAGACTCAACATGCTCATATTTCTCAGGTCTAGAGAAACCGTTTTTTCACAACTTGTATTTATTGCATTTATGACTGTATCCCACTTATAAAATCACATAAGCTGCACTGTATGCAAAGACCAGCTTTTGTGTGAGTCTCACTTGCATGTATTATATTAATTTGTTTTGACTTATATTTGAAACTCTATCCGCTGTGGATAGAGATTCAAAGAAGAAAAAAAAACACATCCATTGGTTTAGTTCTCTTTCTTATGAATTTATGCCGTACTGCTCCTTACCAAGTAGATCTTCCTCTCTTCTTCAGGTGTACAGAGCACATCCATTATTCATCACTGCAATACATGAAGGCCTTTCAGCTCTACAATAAGTGTGAATGTTCCTTATATTCTGCTTTGTGCTCCAGTGTGCGGTTGACTCGAACACCAGGCCAGTCCCTGGGTATCAGCATAATGGGAGGCAGAGGCATGGGCCGGAGACTGAGCAGTGGAGAGATGATGAGGGGAGTCTTCATCAAGCACATCAGCCCCGACAGCCCGGCAGCACTTAATGGCACCCTCCAGACTGGAGACAGGATACTAGAGGTGTGTGTGTGTGTGTGTGTGTGTGTGTGTGTGTGTGTGTGTGTGTGTGTGTGTGTGTGTGTGTGTGTGTGTGTGTGTGTGTGTGTGTGTGTGTTTGTATGTGTGTGTGTGTGTGTGTGTGTGTGTGTGTGTGTGTGTGTGTGTGTGTGTGTGTGTGTGTGTGTGTGTGTGTGTGTGTGGTGTGTCTCATTCTGTGGCAATGTTCATTGAGGAGATAGAGAAGGAGACACACTTAGTTTACATTCCAGGAAAGGCAAGTGTGTGTGTGTGTGTGTGTGTGTGTGTGTGTGTGTGCGTGCGTGCGTGCGTGCGTGTGTGTGTTAATGCTTATGTGTTTGTTGAATGAGCATGGATTTATATACTGTATACATGTTCTGTTTACTGTGTGTGCACTGTGGAAACATGTGCAGCGCTTGGGTTTATGAAAGATGGTGATTTGATGATATAGTAAAAACCAATCTTATTTTTACTCCAAGGTTGAGCTCTTTTTCGTCTTTATACAATACAGGATTTTATACAATGCAATGAACGAACCTCCATGCCACACTCTGGTGCAACAGTTTTAAGCACAAACTATAGTGCACATTTGTGTCTCTTTCCAACATATATTTGAATTACAATACTGGGTAAATCCGTATAACGACATTCATTTAATCCTAAATACATAGAAATAAATCTTGTGGGACATCTTATTTAGCGATATTTGACCATTAAACATTAGAAAACGTACCATTAGCCCTGCGATCTTGCTATATAGTTTCTACTGAGGTAGCCATCGCTTTTATGTATGTGTAAGGTCATTGTAGATTATGTTCTCATTGCAGGGTTGCCTTAAGGTGAAAATTGGATTAACAGGATTGACACATCATTGTGATTACTAGATTTTTTAAAGGTCATTTTTCAAATAAATTGTCTCTAATGTTGACTCGGCCAAGGTGTGTGGAGTGGACCTACGAGATGCCAGCCATGAGCAGGCAGTGGAGGCCATCCGCCGGGCCGGAGACTCTGTGGTCTTCCTGCTCCAGTCTGGACAGCACAGATCTCAGGTACTGCATCTCAGAAAAACAAGTACTTGCTTAGTCATACAATGTGCAACGAATACTCAAGTACGATTACATAATATTCTGTTTTGTTTTATTGAGGTCCCAGATTATTTCACTGAATCATAATACTCAGCAAGTGCAAAGAAAATCTGCAGTTTATATTCTGTTGGACAACTCCATCAGAAGTTTCAGCAATGTTTGCGTCGGAGTTTGTGGCATTACAATATAATGTACACAGTTCACAAGGCTTGTTAAACAAACGTTTATTTAACTGAAAACCTATTTAGTATAACATATTGGATGCATAATTTGAAGCATCTGCAGTATGTTTCATAAAGATATTCACCTGCCTTCGCTACTTTTTGTGTTTTCGCCCACAGTCCCCTATGCTTGCCAACCACGAGAGACTGACTCCACAGTGTTACTCACACAGCAGCAAGGTAACTGCTCTACCAGATAACTTACGCTGTACATTCTCTCTCTCAAAATATACTACCGCTTTGAGAGTGGTAATGCGTATTGTAGAAATTGATATGAATGGGGTATATATATCTATTTAAATTAAAAAAGCAGTCCCTACTTATTTGTTTCGAGGTCGTGACTGCTACAGATGACAAGCTGTGAAACCAATTTCCTCAGTTTGTGTTCCCACACAGTTACTGATGTTTGGCTGACTATGGCTGTAGTGTATAGAGAATGTTATACTGTATTATGCACTTTATTATATATATGAGTCATTAACACCTTCATGGTATTCCAAAAAGAATTGAGGTCTTTGAGAAGAGCTTTGAATATTTTTTGTGGGGTAAAATATTTGTTTCCCTTCATGATTGTAGGAAGCAGAGAGTCTGAGTCTGTTCCTTAGTGTATGCCCTACAAACCCCTTCACTCCCACCCCCTTTAAGGTTGGTACATTGATGTCTTGCGTGTGTTATCATGGGTATGCAGCATCTTAAAAGACTGCATTAGCATTTGCACTAAACCAACTTCCAAAAACTTAATTAACGTGCTTATTTGTAGATAGAACCCTTGTAGTTCAAAGTCCCTTGCAGCTACCTTGTTTGTTTAAACCCTTTGTTTTTCTCTTTGGTGGAGATGCATAACTCTCTAAATAGACAGCACTTCCTTTTGAAGTTATTTTTCTATGCACTTGTAAGTTGGTTAAAAAATAATGCATGATTCTGGTCATCTTTCATGTTATTTTTAGCCGACATCAAAACTGTGTTCATTAATTTATCCTATTCGTCAGTTTGTCCCACGGCTACATCAAGCACACTGAACAAGCCTCAGGGGTGCTTCAACTCATGCCCAAAGGACCCCTGAGGCATCTCCAACTCTGCCTGTTCAATAATGCAAAACTTCTCCCAAGGTACCTTCGACAACATCCAATAAAACAGATCGGAGGAGCCCCACTACTGTCCCAACACCAATCACAGTGGCAGCTGGAGAAGAGGGCGATCCTGGCAGGAGTAAGTCTCCATTATAAAAACGTCACAAACACTTAGACAGGAATCCCTTAAAGCCCCTTAAAAAAGGAGCTTTGTGGCGTTTGTAATGTGGCCACTTTTACACAGCGCAGGACAGGTCACGTGATGGGCCCTATGGCTCAGAGACTTCACGTTACACCTTTCCATTACAAAAGAAAAACCTGTATAACTCAATCAAAAATATCAAGAGTTTCACCAATATTCAGAAATTACATTTTTATTTTTTACAATATGCAAATGTATTCAATGTTCATTTATTTACAGCTATCAATCTTATTATTTTTCATGACATTCACTATGGAGATACTTGGCCATGTTCATACATTAGTGAGAATGCATTATGAGCCAAGAATGCAAAAGCCTAAATAATTTTGTTTCTCTACAGTATGTTCTGGGAGAGCAACTTTGGTTTGCCTTTTATCTTTTATTTTTGTATTCTTTGGCATAAAAAAAAACTGTTATTCAAGTTATATGCATTCTTTGTTTTTGCTTCATGCCCTTATTGTATTAAAATTGCCCTGAGGAATTTTCTTGTGGACAAACAAAGTTTTGTGTTTACACTCGGTTTTACTCATCAAGATGCTTTGTGCATATTTTGAGGTATAGCAAATGTGTTGAATATATTCCTTTTCCTCATAAAACAAAGGCAGATTTTCTTAACAGTTTGAAACCTGCATTGCTTACATTCATGATCACATCTTGCTGTATTATACACAGTATATTGCTGCCGGAACTTTACTGTATCCTTTGGATCAATAAAATCAACTAATAAAAACACTGATCCATAGACCATAGTGCTGATAGCGTTAACAAAGAAAACCCCTCAGGGTACACTTGAGGGAGTTTATGTGATCATGCATATTAACAAATATGTAAATGTGATTATTTTCAAATATTTATTAGCACAGGTTAATACACATGTACAAAGACTAATTCACACACTCACACACACTCCTTTAGGCTGTAATGCTTCCTCTACACATGTCAGGGGGAACATGTATCATTCCTCACTTTCCCTTTTGCTTAAACAACATATTTTTCTCATTGTTTACTCTTGTCCCTCCTAGAAAAAATGCTTCAGCGTTACGGCAGCCTGTCAGGAAAGCTCCATATGATTGAGCTGGAGAAGGATCCTGCGGCTCGCGGCCTGGGAATCAGCCTCTCTGGAAACCAGGATGGTTCCAGGGGCCCGCATGAGTGTCCATGTGGGCGGAAATCGACCCTCAAGGACCTGCTGGTTTGGATGGGAGGATATGTATCGGAGACGAGCTGCTCGAGGTAAGGAGGAATCTTGAATGGGAACAGTAAGAAAAATCAGTTACGGTTGACATTTACACACTTTTGGGGGACAAGAAAGGCCTGGAGTCCTAGAGAGAGAGAAAATCTTACAGTCAAAATTGAGAGCAGCAGAAAGAGAGCAGTGGGTTGTGGGTTGGAGTCATGGATGAGTAGAGAGCGTTGAGTGCCTGCACAGTAGATTTATCAGACAAATTACCAATTTTGAAGGATGGCTGGTCCTGGGCTGGATTTCTAGCAATGAGCAACCGTGTAAAAGAGATGATATCGAGGTAGAGGAGAGGCTGATGGCTGAGAGGGGCAGGGGAGTCGGAGGAAGGTGGCAGAAAGGCAGATTTATGTGGCGCTGGATGGGATAACGGAGAGGAAAGGCTGAGATGGCAGTACATGATGTGAATTTTTGTCCAGATCAACGGTCAGATCTTGTATGGCCGAAGTCAACAGAACGCATCCACCATCATCAATAACGCTCCATCGAAAGTCAAGATCATTCTCATCAGGTAACATGCAGAGGTTTTGTTTCTGATTGGCATTTGCATTTCTCCAATCAGGATATTAGAGTCTGATGGTCAGCTCAGGAATGATATCAGATTTTTTCTTTCTTTTTTACTAGAAATAAATCAGCCCATGGTCCAGCGGCGCAGGGATCGACAACAGAGTGCAAGGACACAGTGGACTCCCAGGCAGACTCTACAGAGTGTGGACCCAGAGACATCCAGCACATCATCTTACCTCAGGTGCATTTCCTTCAGTTCTTCTTGGCATTAACAATTTTCAGGCCTCCAGCTTCACATATCTCGAGAGCTCAAAGAAACCAGTTGGCTTATAGCAGACTCCCACATCGTTGTAAATATGATAGTGAATACAGATTGTGTATACAGCACTGCTATAAGCTTTGCTGACTCAAGAGCTTGTTTCTTTCCTACAGGATTACGTAGGTCTTGGTCTTTGCCTGGCAGAGGGGGAGGTGGTCAGGTCCCTGGTCCAGGACGGCACTGTCAGTAAGGTGTGACATCACAAGTAGTATCATCATCATATATCTGTATCTCAATCATTTCAGTGTTTTTTGTTCATTTCCAAACTATAGTGTGTGTAAATTACCATCATCGCTTACTTATTTATTGAATATGAATATGCAAAAGTGTGTGATTGGATTATTATAAGGCAAAAATATCTGTTGGAAAAAAGTTGTGGCGTAAAAAGGGCAATGTTCTAAGATTTAGCTGAGCCTAAGTATAAAGTAGCATAAAATGGGTATTCTCACGCAAATAATAAGTAGTTGAGTGAATGCACTTTTGGAGTGAATGTCCAAAATACATTCCAGAATGTTCTTTTTTTAAGTCAAAGATTATTATCAATATATATGCTGGATATTCTGCTTTTTATCATGAAATTGTCAGCCTACAACACACACTTTTGAGTTATTCCAGCATACAGGTTGCACAATATTTCATCATTCTGCATCCATGCTTCCTCAATGGCCTGACTAAACATTGTCAATCAGAAAAAAGATGGAGTAATAATCACCCCCTTACTGTACTGTATACAGCTGTTAGCTATGATGTGAAGTTCTGTAGTCTCTTGGTATTCCTGGTTTCTAATATTAACATTACATTAATGTAAACATTAGTAACCTTGAGATAATGCTTGCCGTGTTTTAAAGTGATGTCGTCATGCACTAACAGGCTTTCATGTAGGGCTCCAGGCAACAGTAATTCAGATTTTTTTCCAGAGGGTGTGTTTGATTTTTAATCTAACTTCCTCTCCATTGTTCTGCTTCAGATACTTTTATACATTTCTTACTTGTATTCCATTTTCTATTCATGATGCTGTCTGGGTGCAGGATGGCAGGATAAAGGTTGGAGACAGAATCATTGCAGTGGGTGATGAACCTGTGGCAGGACTGTCAGTGGACAAGGTGCACAAACACACACACACACACACACACACACACACACACACACACACACACACACACACACACACACACACACACACACACACACACAAGGTCGAGCTGATTTAATGATTTATGACTTGCTTGTCTTCTCTGTATTCAGGTGTCCAATTTGATTCTCAAACATCGGGTCACTGTCAAACTCTCCATCAGCTGCTCCAAGAGTCTCTCCCCCTCTCTTTCTCTTCCTCCCCAGTCATCTAATTCCCCTGCCTCTCTCTCCCCCCGATTCTCTCCCTATTTCCTTCTCTTCATCACTCAACTCTATGCAGACCTCTCCTACCGGACGTTCTGATTGGCCAGTATCAGCTCCCACAACTTCTGACCCCATGAGCTGCCCTGTAATGCCTGGCACGGAGACCACCATAGAGTTTTGTAAAGGAAATGTAGGCCTTGGTCTCAGCATTGTAGGAGGATGTGACACTCTGCTGGTGAGAACAGCCATTTAAAAGTGATTCATTCAACACATGTGAATCTTTATTGACACAATCCATGCATCTGTACACGAATTGTCAGTCTTAGTTTGGTGTGAAATGCAATGCTTCAATGCTTATTTAATGTCGCTCTATTGGTTTATCTGTAGTAAATATCTTTCTGGTTTTCCACTAGGGGGCAGTAATAATCCATGAAGTAAATTATGGAGGAGCCGCACAAAGAGATGGAAGGCTGCAGGCCGGAGACCAGATACTAGAGGTATTATGGCACACACAAAGAAACCATTTTATATTAATTTGACTGAATCAGTAACCGTTTTTTAGTGTCTGTCTCAAGCTGTAGTGATTAGATGATATTCCATTTAATTGACTATTTCTGTATCATTTTGTTGTCAACTTCTGATATCAATATAACATATTAATCATGTGGTTCAGATTATTGAAGACAACACACATAAGTTAACATTTCTGTGAATGTACAAGGTTAACAATGACCAACATAAAACACTATGATGCTGAAATAAAGCCAACAGGAAGTGGAAAAACATTGATTGGTTGAAGCAAAGACATGTTTATAGATTGATTGCCTTCAATAAAGCCATCAATTATGATAACACACTGCTTGACATTACAGTATTTGTAAAATCTGCTTTCTGTGTTGTAAAAATAAAGCTACTTCTTACCTCCTGCCTCTCTCTCACACTTTTCAGGTAAATGGTATAGACCTGCGACAGGCCACTCACGATGAGGCCATCGGCGTGCTGCGGCTCACCACCCAGCGTGTCCGCCTGTGTGTCTTCAGACACCAGGAAGCGTACAGCGAGGAGGACCTGTGGGACGTCTTCAGCCTGGAGCTGAGGACTCGTCCTGGAGAGGGGCTAGGGTTCACCACAGTGGGAAAGAGGTATGTATTCTTAATATTGTTTAACAAACTTGGAACATTTAAGCGATTTATTTTGATTTATTTTTGTAGATTTTCTCCAATTTTTCTTTTGGAAAACAATGTGGTTATTTTTACTTTTTAATTAATTGACGCACCTCTGATAGAAAAACAATAATAACCCTTATAGTTGTATGATAATGAAATGTCTCTGGTGACAGCCATACTTTCACTGTCGACTCCCATTTACAAATATCAGAGAAGGAGATTATTTGTTGACTTCTAATGCCTTTACCCAGTTAGAGGTCAGGGACTCTGTAGCATCAGGTAACATTATTGTAAAAAAGATAGATACCTAATTCAATAAATCAATAATAAATCAAGTGTGACGTTATGCGAAACAGCAGGATTACAGGTCACATAATTCAGTCTGCAAGTGTGGAACAGACGCAGTGTTTGACCTCTGTTTTCTCTCAACAGTAATGACACGGGCATCTTTGTGTCAGATATCATCAGAGGAGGCATAGCAGATTCAGATGGCAGGTTGTTGCTAGGTGACCAGATTCTGTCAATCAATGGGGAGGATGTCCGTGCAACATCGCAGGAACATGCACACAAGCTTCTACAGGTCTGACACATTCACACTGTCACATACAAATTCAAAGAAGAGAGTTATAGATTTGTTTTTACAGATTCACCATCTTATGTGAGATGTGTCACTTTTCTCTCAGAGTTGCAGTGAAGCGATGCACCTGGAAGTGGCTCGTTTTAAAGCGGGGCTGCAGTACTCACAGCAGAGCCTGGTAAGCTGTTTCCTGTGGCTCTCTGTGTCTGTGTTATTAAACTACTTTCTTGCACTATTTTAACAGTAGCACTTTGTGAACCTAGGAGTACTATAAGTTGTGTTTTACCCAGAGTGAAGACTCTGACTGTTCAACCCTGACCCCCCCAAGTGGATGTGATGCTTCCCTCGGTCACCAGAGGGAGACAGATCATAAGACAGGGAGCTACTGTGAGTTGTACTTGTGCTCTGAAAGCATATCTTTATTAACTCTTGTGGTTCAATCACAATTTACTTTGAGTGGAAACAATACTGTTAAAATCTCTAAGCCTAATGTGTTATGATATACCTCCAACAGCCTTTCAAGACTTCCCTGAGAGAAGAACAATAATAATACATAAGGTAAGGCACAAAATCTTGAAATAAAATGGTTTTCTTTGTAAGTGCCCAAGACAATTGGAGACCTTTAGATGTTCATCTATATTTTTTTCAAGGTTGCTATATCATTCTTAAACCCGTGATCTTTTGATATTTTACTTCAAATGACAAATTCGAAATCAAAGATATAAATAGCCTTACTGCTTCTCTAATGTGCAGTCTGCCAAGTGATTCACTGATATTGTCTATTGAGGTCTAAAATGTGTGTGTGTGTGTGTGTGTGTGTGTGTGTGTGTGTGTGTGTGTGTGTGTGTGTGTGTGTGTGTGTGTGTGTGTGTGTGTGTGTGTGTGTGTGTGTGTGTGTGTGTGTGTGTGTGTGTGTGTGTGTGTGTGTGTGTGTGTGTGTGGTATCACAACAGGGTCCATGTGACTCCCTGGGCATCAGTGTAGCAGGAGGAATGGGCAGTCCCCATGACAACGTACCTCTTTTTATTGCTTCCATGGATACCAATGGATTGGCTGCCAAAACGCAGCAATTACAGGTAGGTAATACTGCCTCTCAAAAAATATGTTATTCATAATGTTTCAAATATACAGTTTGGACTATAACAATCAGAAATACATTGAGTGTATATATAGAGGATGTCTCAGTTGTACAATAGGGAAAGCACTCTACCATAAGCACTATAATAAATGATGAATGTTCCACAATTCAATAAAATGTCCTTGCAAATATCGAAGTACTTTTGTGTGTCGATCAGATAGGAGACAGGATCCTCACTATCAATGACGTGTCCATAGAGGGAATGACTCATGTCCAAGCTGGACTCCTGCTGAAGACGGTCACAGGAACCATCAGTCTGCAGGTAATGTCACAGACGCTGAGACATGCAGTAGCTAATCTAAAACGCCTGTGAGTCACTAGATTGGGAACATTTTGAAAGGTTTGAAAACCAAACCTGCGTCCTCTACTGTACTGTATATATCATGTTTACTTTGACATCACTAAGACGTAATTATTTATTTATTTAACAGTAAAAAAGTAGATTTAGGTTTAGGTTATGGTGTCAGTCATCCTATTATTATCATTATTTTTCCATGCGAACATGATACTGTATTTCTAAGACAATACTGTGACTGACACTGATTTCCAGTGTTTGTTTTCATGTTATTTAGCCTCTGGAAACATTTTTGTTGCAAGAGAAAAAAGCAAAAATGATAGGAGCTGAATTTTAGTTGTTACTGACAAGAACATTGTGTGTGAAAAAAATAAATTACACATCAAAAGCTTTTAGATTGTTCGTACCCTATTATATTCACATAAGTACAGGTTTATTAGATAACTTTAGTTAGATTGAGCGTGTGTGTGTGTGTGTGTGTGTGTGTGTGTGTGTGTGTGTGTGTGTGTGTGTTTTTTCTAGGTGGCAGCGGGTTCTGGTGGCTGCAGTACAAACGACCACACTGATGTGCATCCACGGTCGTCAGGCCAACCCAGCAACCTGCCTCGCTTTCATAACAACCTCAGGTAAGAAGCAGTTTCCTGCCGTTGTAATTTATGATCTAACTCTGGCTCCCTTCTGGTTTATTCACCGAAAAAGGAAAAAGGCAGACCACAGTTCCCTAAACAATAATGAGAAAGTGCAGCCACTGTGTGAGAAGAATTGAGACAAATGTACTTTTGGACAGAATGACCTGCAGTGTTTCCTGGGATTGGTAATTTGCTGTGAGATTGATTGTTTTTCTAGGAAATGTTCCGCTTCAACAAAAACATTGAGTTTTTTTACCACTTATTAAAGTCAGTGATACATTTTAAGATACTGTAAAACAGGGGTGTCAAACTCATTTTCATCGCGGGCCACATTCGCATAAAGGTTGCACTCGAAGGGCCGGTTGTAACTATATAAATATATAATATATATATATAAAATGTATTATATTACATTATTTCCTCTGAATTGGATTATTATTGGATAGGATAATAACTTAGTAATTAACTACGTCTGAAAGCAGAAATCCAGGGCAAATAATTGCAAGTCTCTTCAGTGCGCATGTCACAAAACAAGATGCATTGTGGGACATGTAATTTATGGGCAACCTGCTTCTTTAACCGTATAATAAACGTATTATATTCTTTGCAAGCTCTTGCGGGGCCATATAACATGAAGTCGCGGGCCGGATTTGGCCCCCGGGCCTTGAGTTTGAGGCCCCTGCTGTAAAAGCTCTGGTAAATGTAGTTGTAATGTTGTATATATATTTTATTTGAAAGAAGTAAATGTACACAAATAAACCTGTAAAAAAGTATTTGTAACCCTACATTGACTACTGTGTTGTTGATATACTTTAATTCTGAAGAAAACTCTTTAATAATTATCAGATTAATCTCATTTTAAAATACAATACACACACACACACACACACACACACACACACACACACACACACACACACACACACACACACACACACACACACACACACACACACACACACAGCATAATTTAGAGCAGAGCTAGTTCAGCACTAGCATGGCCTGCAACACACCTTGTTCTTCTTCTTATTCCCTGCAGTGCTCGTACGTATGACACCATCTCTCTGGAGAGGGGCTCCTCAGGCCTGGGCTTCAGCATCGTAGGAGGGTTCAGCAGCCCTCACGGAGACCTGCCCATCTATGTTAAAACTGTCTTCGACAAGGTGAGAGAACATCCTTCAGGGAAATATCATGGGGATCCTAGTTCGAAACAGTAAAGATTTTAAATAATAACAATTAAGTGTTCATATACAGTTAAGGAAAGGATCACACAGGCTGGGAGCCTTTGAGTTTTTTAACATCTGCCAGTAAATAAGGATTATGTTAATATCCTGTAACTTTAAAAAGGTTTCAGTAGTTGAAAACATTACACCTTATTCATTCATAATGAACTCCTTTCCCAGTCACATCCGAAAGCACTTGAATCCTTCAAAAAATCTCTCAAAACTCACTTATTCACTCTTTCAAACTCTGATCAACAGAGCAACCCCCCCCCCACGTGTTTACTCCGCACTTGGATTAGGACTTTTGTTTATGTTTCTATGCTGATTTTATGTGAAGCGTCTTTGCGCATTAGGAAAAGCGCTATACAAATCCCATGTATTATTATAATGCTATTCTTCCTATTATTTTCCAGAAATATATATGTGATCATTTGTCATTACTGTATGTAATATCAGCTTTTACATTTCCTTTCAGTTCAGTTACTTGTCTTTTGGGTGTACCGTGTGTAATGGTGTTTTTAGCTTGTTATGTCTGATCTGCGCATGGTGAAGGACCGCTCTTGTCCTCTACAGGGGGCGGCCATAGAGGACGGCCGGCTGAAACGTGGAGATCAGATCATTGCTGTGAATGGACATTGTCTAGAGGGGGTAACTCACGCTGAAGCTGTGGACATCCTCAAGAAGACCAAGGGAACTGTAGTCCTAACGGTACTTTCTTGAGACACAGCCCACTGTGTCCAATTGTAGCTGCCTCCCGGTATCACAGCCTCACACAAACATGAGAAGGGTAAACCAGGACAGGTAAAGTCGTATAGAGGAGTAAAAAACTGTTAATGAATTCTAGTTTAATTTCGGGAAGCTACCTCTAACTGCAACTGGGTGCGTTAACGGGCACAATTGCCCAATATAAACCCAGATTCCTGTGAAGGTGTTATTACAAATCATTTGTGTATGTTATAAAAATCTTCATTTCCCTATCCAAATGACCTCTGTGTTGCAAACAGGCTATTTTAGAGTAACCGCAGAAGCAACAAAGGCATTTATTAAACAAGTCAACTGATGATAATATATTGTGTCTTAGTTATCCTGTTCGAGGTATTTATAATATAGATATGCAATGATATGCATCATTGCCCATGTAAACACATTCATGAATGAATTACCATCTCCAAAACCTCTGATTCTGCCGACAGTGCATATGAATGCAATAGATAATTTTCCTGTCACAATGTCAGATGTATTTACTACTGTCTTACATCTGTTCATATAGGGTTATCCACTGTGATTAACTCCTAAGACCCACAACATGCCAAGTGCTTCTGCCAATCTTTTGTATGGCAATAAGGTTTTAGGACATTTGCTTTAGAAGACTGTTGAATTTTTTTTCTTCATTCTCATATTCTAATCAATAAGTGTGTCATGATTGCTATATTTATCAATGTACTTTATCTATCTTTTAATAATCTTTAATATTGTGCATTTATTTACCTATTTAATATTGCTTACTGTTTTCATAACTTATACCTTGATCTGTTGTAGTAAGTATTGTTATAGTGCAATGTGCAATCTTTATTTAGAAATACTACATGTTTTATATCAATTTATATATACTGTAGCATTTAAGGTCTCTTCACATTCATTTATTTTAATTGTATTAATGTCAGTAGTCCTTAGAGCCACATCACACGTGGGTTTGGGATTGTGTAACATTGTATGACTGAATGTACTGTAAGGGATCTTATTAAATGTTAATTTGTTAGAGTTTTGTATACAGAACTTTTTATAGTTAAGGAATTCTGCTGTTCTGCTGTCTTACTTCCTGATGTACCTCTGTGTATTATGTTGTAGTGAAACAAGCAGGCACCTTAAAGCAGATTATATTTTAATGAGGAATGCGAACAACACAGAAATCTTTCTTGATTCTCTCTGTTGTCTCTCTGGGATAATACTGATAAGCTAGTGGATATCACATTGTTTAACTTTCAAATTCCACAGATGCAGACCATAGAGAAGTTTTAAGAAAATCTGCCATAACTAAACTTTTAAACAAGGATGTCTGTGCCTGAAGTTACATTTAAGGATACATGCAATTGTTTTGCATATTTTAGCATCTTTTTCGAACGAGTGAACAGAATTTGCTTTAGGGGGTGTTGGATTGTCGTTGTTTTTGATCTTTGTCTCTCTCTCTCACACTCTTTATTTCGGTCTTTGTCAAATGTGAATACATATCCAGAGTCACTGAGTTTAGTCAAGTGTGTGTCACACAGATTATCATGGTATGACAGGGTAGCACTAAATCACTAGAATAAGAAGAAGACTACAGTGACAACAGGAGAGGCAGTGGAGGAAAAAGGACTGAGGGTAATTAAATAAAAGTGACAATACGACCGTGTATGGTATAAATAAACCAAAAAAACACCTTAAAGGTGGGGTAGGTGATTTTGGAGTGCGCTAGAATTTGAAAATACACAGCCGGAACAAATCTGCCACTTCCTTACAGAGCCCCTCCTCCAACACACACGAACGCGCACATGACCAATGAGGGCACGAGATAAGTTTGTGCACAGATGGAAGGCTGACAGGCAGGTAGGCCATCCAGTTGTTTTAGCCGGGCCGGCTCAGATGATTGGTCGTGCTTTTTACAGTACGACGGCTTCCACAGATGGAATGGAAGATTTTTTGTGAAAGCACTTATTTCCATGGAATATAACAAAAAGTGTATCTCGAGCCGGTTTCTCAAACTTACCTATACCCCACCTTTAAAGATGAAAACAATTCCAACTAATAAGTATGAGGAATGGCCTATTTCAGAATAATGTATAGCATGGGACTCTAATTATTGATGCATTAATGTGTTCATCGCTTTCATGTTGCAGCTGGTAAAAGTTCATTTTAAATAATTAATCAAGTGTTATCTAAACCCATAACACTTCCTCATCCTGTATTGGTGAAATCATATTTTTGCATGAATCATCTTAATATAATGTCTTGTACTGTGCCTAAAGAGGAACAAATGAATGTTAAGGACAGGACAATAAGTATAAGCGGTACAACATTTTAGAGGAAGCTGAAAAAACAACTAAAAGAACGTTCTCAACCTGAGCTAGAGAAATGCCAAGGGAGAGTAAACCTGTGCCATGTTTTTGTTAATGCAGAAAACTTTTCCTTTAATTACTGGAGTTAATGTTGACAAGTTGACAAACAATTCATTTGCACACAAATGTCTCATTTAGGAAAGAGGAGGCATCTAGGGAGATCCTGTCTGGAAACTCCGCATTAATCAAAGCCATCTGTTCACATTGCAAGCTTTATTGAAATCCAGCCATCGCAGTCTGGTTTATCCTTCTCCAGATGAACAATTGCCTCGCCTAAAGGCTGGCGTGAAGAGGGTTTTAAGATGGAGAAATGGCTAGATGCTGTTTGGAAATCAACTGGAATGTTTTTCAACATAATAATTGTTAGTTTCTGGGAGATAAAAAGCTAATATCTGCTTCTTGTTTGGCATTTTATAACATAAATCTACATATTTTCTAATTTGTTATGATGTGATCTTCAATGAATTTCCATACACTTCTTTTGGAAGTTTCTGTTGGGCAGATGTATTGCAATATCTCTTTCTTCTCTATTATGAAGGGAGAAAACGTACCTTATTGTTTTCAATAACTTTCTCAAATTCACTTTCTTTCAAACATTTATAAAGGATTTGCCAGCAGGCAACAGCACCCCTCATGGCTATTCTCACCCTCTTTTCCCTCACATATTAAACCTACAGTGGGGCCTATCCAATGTGGCCGAAGAACTGTAATGCATTTTTACAGCAGCTAGGAGGACTTCCATGTGAGCACACTTGACATAAAAGGCACTAATGACCCTCCCTCTTGGGAAAGTAGCAGTGGCCAAATGATTGTTCTGTGACTGTCACATCTACCCATATTAATAAATCCCCAGGATTGTCTTTTTGCTGAGTGTAACCTGCTGGTACAGAAAGAACAGCCAACTGATTGTGGATCCAAAAGAAAATCCCTTTTTTTCCATCCATTCCCATGAGATACCAGCAAGCATTGCAAAAGTGCCATTCCTAAGCAATTCAGTCCAGTACTGAGTCTCACAATCAAGCTTTTCTGAAAGCAAGATACAAATATTGAGACTGGAAGTTTTACTATACATACTGTAAGCCTGCAGTAGTGACAGTAAATTACAGCTTATTCAATTAAATGTAGGTCCCACCAGTTTCATGTCACTGTAAGTCTAGGTTGTCAAAAGCAAATGAGTTGAACTAATGGGAAATGTGGTGCAGAGGAGCATGCATGCTTATGTCATGTTGCTTTATTCATTGGCATAGTGTGGAGGGAGAAATAATTAGACACCGTCACGCAGTTATAGCAGAGAAACACCGCATGATATGCCCCATCATCTTGTTATGAGTTTCAAAACCGCAGAAAATCTTCCTATAATTTAGATGGTTTGTATAATTCATTCATACTTTATGCACGATTCTTAATTCATTAAGAAAGCAGAAGTTTTTTTTGTCTCAAAATGTTTCCCCATAGAGTTCTAATTGCTATTTTCTATGATTGTTTTCTATTTTACCTCCGTGACATTTTTCGATTAATGTGAATCAAATTTGTTCCTATCCTAAAACTGCTCAGATTTAAGACACTAAGTCAGTGTGTCCATTTTTACCTTATTCCGTTGAAAGAAATATAGCTTTTAATCTATAATATATGTGTTAACTATAACAAATGATTATGGGGTGAGCGCATGATTTGTATATTGAAGCATCTTATACTGTGGCAGTTATATGTTATGTCCACATGAGGGCGGTGTGTTTGTGCTGTTATGAAGGCATGGACCTTTGAATCGAATTGATCTGACTCGATGAGAAGAACCATTACATCATAGTGGTTTACTGGTTAGCCTTAGGCTGAAGACAAGCACATTTGGGTCTGCATCAAAGTATTAAGACCTGTCTGTGGTCGGTTCATATTGCACTGCTAATAATTCACACACTGATAGTACTGAATTACACAAATTGATTGGAATAGGTACATCAAACCTCATAGAAAGATTGCCATTCATCTTACAGATGAACATTGTCTTCATGAATCTATGAGCACCATGTAACTGGTAGCTAAAACAGATACTGTAAAGGGGAGAAATAGTCGCCTATAATTGTCGACCAACAACAATTTGCCCATTCATTAAAAGCTGTGCTGCTCCAGGCAATCCAACCTCTTGGCTGCAGTGTGATCTCTCCTGCTGTATGTGTCACACAAACTGCTCCTTCAGCCCTACAATTTATAGCCAATACGCTGACACAGACACACAGAACCTGGATTCAAAACCAGTTCAACTTTATTAGAAGAAGTATGGGAATAAAAAAAAGCTAACATGCATTAAAATGTTATGTCCACTCTTGAGAGGCTTGGATTTAGACAACGGACTGTGATTTGTCCAACCTTCGGTCATCCTCTGAGTAGCATCGGAAAGTTTCTCCCAGCAGTGGCTCCAGGGCCTCAGCTGAGCGGTAAGAGCGGGCACGCACTGCACAGGCGATGACACCCCCCAACACTGCCACCAGCAGCACCGCCGCAACAACGCCAATGGTGATGATCTCAGACACAGTGTAGGCACGAGCTATGGAAAAAGGACAAAAAGGTCATAAGGGGTCATTGTGTTTTGTGAATGTGTGTGTGCGGCTACTTACTGGGCCACTGGACCTCATAGGAGTATCCCAGGTTTTCTGTGGCAGCGACAAACATCTCAGCATTGGTGACAGGAGGCCAGAAAGGAACCATGTTGAAATTTCGATTGTGCCCAATGGGAGCATTCTCCTCGGGGTAGACTACTTCACCTACAGGTTGAGAAAATAAGGTTTATCCATGTATTTCTCTGAGTGATTTGCTGTACCTCGATGTAGTTCATTCTTTGTGTACCGGGTTGGTGTCTGCTGAGCCACTCGTCAAAGATTGCATCAGTGAATGTGTGCAACAGGACAAAGATGGGGTCATTGGGCGAGAGGTGAGTCTGTCCGCCTGTCCCGTTGAGGAAGAGATGGGCCAAGTTGTGGAGGCTTCGGACCACCGGGTCGTACATCCCCTGGGGGGCACTGTAGCCTGGAACATTGATAAGAAGACATTAAAGGTCCCCTATTATACTGTTTTTCATCAATATATAATAGGTCTCAGATATATACAAAACATGTCTCTGAAGTGTTTTGCTTGAAATACCAAACAGATCACCCTTTGTAGCATCCCATAAATCCCTCTGTTTCAGCCAGCCCTGTTTCAAAAGTGCTGATTCTCTGTCTGTTACTTTAGATGAAAACAAGGTGCCACTCCCAACGCCCCTCTGTGAGATATTTGGTTAAAAATAACACCATGGTGCTCTAGGAGGACATTCAGGTGATAAGGTGGGCGGGACAGGTGTTACCATGGTTGGTTATTGGCTAATGGTTTCACGACCCAAAAAAAACCTTATGACATCACAAAATTGCCAAAAATCTGATCAGCTCATTTTCAGACAGGTTTTTATATAAATGGATCAGGACGAAAAGGGAGCGAATATTTTTTCCTGAAACATTCAGAATCTCTTTACACAGAGGGGACACATGTTGATGTATAAAAGACATGAAAAAGTGGCTTATGCATAATAGGTGACCTTTAAATGAAAGCTAACTTCTCATGTGAGGAAAGAGTCTTGGCTGAACCATCAGGTGCTTTGATTCTAACCCATGAGAAGTAACTGCTCACCTTCAATGGTGTTCCTGAAGCTCTCAGAGGAGGTGGAGTAGTAAGGAGGAGTGTCGAAGGCGTTGAGCTCCAGACAGTCCAACACATCCTGGGGCTCGGGCAGCTTCTGCACCATGGGCCGCGCCACGTTCCCCGCTGGGTTCCTCCTGATGGGACTGGTCTCTGTGCCTGTGTGACAAGGACAGAACCGAAGGTCAAAGATAATGTTCTCCAATATAGTTACCTTTACACTCGGAAAGAAGATAACTCGACAGTGACGGTTGTATATTTTATGGTTGGTAGGGAATTTCAGTTCAGATTCAGGCCAGTTGTCCCCACAGAAACCAAAAGAAAGATTATAAGAAATGTATTGAACTACTTTCTAATTCTATGTGGGAGGCTCAACTAGTTTGATCAGTCCTTAACATGACAGGATGGCAGTTTTCTTTTTTAATTATTCACTAAAAGTCATCAGTAGTGAGTGGGAGCTCTGTGACTGAACAGAAGTTGTTGTTTTTTTTCCCTTCTCACATGCATGATCTCTTTTTTTTGTGCGTTCTCTCCCACACCTACACAAACACACACAAGATCACATAAACAGAAGGGTACATAACTGAGTTGTCTGTCTGTTTGAAGATTATTCCCTCAGATCAAAGGAACCGGTAGACTGCTAGATTCCTGTCTTCAACAAGCACATGCACAAATGAGGCAACCACCCTAACCCATTTAAGGAGATGATGCTTGCTGATGCAGGAAATACAGGGCCTGTCATGACTCTCTAAGGGGATTAATGAGACAGATCACTCACACGTTAGCCACTCACATGTTGTACCTGTTACCAAATTACCCCAGCTTTTGTCTTATACATATGCAATTGTTTCAAAAAAGCCCCTTTCCCTGTTTGTAGTAGAGCCCTACGCTAAAAGAGGATTGACATTCTTCTTTGATTCCTCGACACCAGTGGAAAAAAATGTGTATGAATGTGTGTTTGAAAACTTAAGCAAAAGTAGGGTTGTAATCTGGTACCACTGTGGAATGAGATCCAATCCCTGCAAATCTGATCACGTTAAGTCTAGCCTATTACAGTGTTACACATAGTTGCCATATTCTTGACAAAACTCCTTGCCCCATTGGGAATTAAGATTTGAAAAACGGGTTGTGCTGATGGCTGCTATGGAGAAACTAGACTTAGTGAAAAACGTTTTAAAATACAGTTTTAAGATGCAGCACTTTGGATGCACACAGCAACTTAAAAGTTGAGTTGTTTCAAACAAACTGTAGCAACAGCAGGCAATATTAAATGCGGCAGCTGTGAGGTATTATTTATAGCAGCTTATGTTCTACATGCTCTCTTTAGGAGCTCTTTGCCCTCTTTTCTGATCCAGCTGAGACTACTCTGTAAATCAACACTGCTTTCCTGCCCAGTGCGGTACATGGTGTGTTCCTGCATGTGTCCTCCTCACTGTTGCAGATGGTGCCGAAGGTGTCGTAGTCTTCCACACTCTCACAGATGACCCTCCACTGGGAGAACACGGAGTTGGGGCTGATGGAGCTCATGTCGAAGGAGCTCCTGGCTCCGAGCAGCTCGTCGGTGCAGATGTCACACTCGCTGCCTCCGATGGCAAAGTTCCAGTAGGGCAAGGCGAAGGTGGAGTCGCCCAGCATGTTCTGCATATATGGAGAGAAAGAAGTTGGACATTGGGGGCATCAATTATTACAGAACATGTAGAAAATTACATTTACCCCAAAAAAGATCATATGAAGTATATTGGTATCCGCTAGCTTTGCCCTTTCAAACCCCAATTTTCTTAACCATTACCCTTTTTACCTCTCTCTGTCCTCATCCCTTGTCTTCATCACTTAAAATCCTTACATTCTTTTATTCCTCCTCTTTTCATAGATTCTATGGTCCTGACTTATGTCATCACTCCATCAGCGCTAAGGCCATCTCCCCTTTCCCCTTCTCCTTTTCCTTTTCACAATCCCCATCTTTATCCCTCCCTCCCTTCCCTCTTCTCACCTGCATGTCTCTCTCCAGTTGAATCAGATGAAAGCGGTGCCAGGTGACAAAACCCGGGCCCTCGTGGGAGAAGTCTACGCCTCCAAAGCTGGTCTGGCCCGACCCGAGGTACGTTTTACTGACAGAGTAGTAGTGGCTCCAAACAAAGTAGTTGTAAATGGTGACGTTCTCAAACTGCGGGGTGTTGCCATCAGGCCCAAACACCTCCTGGTACCTTCAGATGAAAGAAGCAGCAGATAAATGTCACCTTGTGTTTTTTCCTACACAGTGCTCTACAATTATCCTCTCATTCTACAATGAAGAAAGTCTAAAAAATTATTATGGATGATAATATATGTTTTAAGTTGAAGTAAATTTGTAAGGCACTGCATGCACATTTTATTTCTGTGTAAGAGCCAACAGGGACTTGATTTCAATTATGAGGCCTGCAGCTGTGATCCTGGGTGTGCCCGTTTATACAGGAGAAATTATAACATATCATGAGGTTGAAAGGGTTCTTTCTTTCTGCTGCTGAGAACTGCTTCAAAAGATAATATACCTAATCCTCAACTGATTTAATAAAATAGGTTATTCACAGGTGTGTACTGTTACTAGAACATTATAAAGCTCTTTACCCTTGCCTTAACTCATAATGTGCACATCCGCCTGCAGCTTAAACAGAAAACTGCCACGATACATCATAAGATTGAATTGATAACTTTAAAAACACATCATGGGATCACTCTAATATTATTCAGCTTTCAACTGCCAGACTCAGCTAGACTAAGCCCGCAGGTTCTTGGGCAAAGCTCAGCTGTCTCTTCCACAGACAAGACGGAAGACTGGCAGAATAAAGATCAATCTCCCTTTCAAAGGACTCCATTTAATCAATTTTAAATATTTGTTGCATTATTTATCTCATAATCAAGTCCATAGAAAATGAATGGAATAATGTATTATAGCAAATGTATGTTTATTGAATGTGTATGTATACCGTCGTGTACAGATGACCAGGTCAGGGTGGACAGTCGTCTTAGCTTGGTCCAAGGCGTTCACAAATGCCTGCTTCTCAGCTGCACTCATCTGCATGATATTTCTTCTCACTGGAGCGAGGTTAAAGGGGTGGAGGATGACAGTAGGGGGAAGAATAAGGGGTTTTGAGGTGAGGGAAGAAAGGAGGGAAGAAAATGTTCTTAAAAATTAACACAGAAGTTTTCCTAACAATAAATGCTGCCCTCATTTCTTCAACAGATATATTGCCCTATTTCTCTGAGGCCCACCGAGATATTAAATATTAAGATAAACATTGCATTTTCAGGCTGCCAGTGTTGAGTTTAGGCAGCATCCATTCTCTTACCCACAGAGATCCTTTGATCACAGTTTGGTCCAGTCAGCCCGTGTCGACACTGCCCACAGTTGTAGCCACTGAAATTCCCGTTACATTGGCAAGTGCGGTTGAAAAATCTCAGCGGCCACTTCTCTCTGTCATCGCGCCCAGCGTAAGGGTACTGGGGTCCATGGCGGCGGTTGTCTGCTGCGATGACCACACACTGCCCTCTTCCTGTGCTGGAGCCACACTCATCCCCTGCCACCCCCGCAGGGGACGGGCAGCACTGGCCACTCAGCAGACCCTCAGGAGTGACGCACTGTCGGGGGAACTGGGCCAGCGTTAGGGTGGCACACAGGGTCACCAGGAGGAGACCCACTCGCCACATGCTACCAAAATCAAGAGAGGATACATTTGAGAATAAGTAAATAACAAGGTTGGAAACACAAACATAGTCCTACAGATTTAACTTCATCTGATTTGTTACAGCTAGCTTTTTCAAAGCTACATTGTGTTCAGGGTTGTAGCTACGGGGCCATGGGTTATCCCAGCATAACTTTGGTAAGATGAAGACAACAAATTCAATACACTGCAGACATAGACTTCAATTAGGCTCAAGAACAACTCACTTGTTCTCTTGTTAAAGCAAATTGTCTTAACATCATTCTGAAACTTCACTTCTTACACGCCCTTGTAGGCACTGCGAGTCATTATTCATAACTCACAAAGCCATTAGCTTTCAACTCTTACAAGTTCAGAAATGCTTTCAACGACAGACGGCAAGACATGATTTGCTTCAACTTTTTTTTTTTAAAGATTTGCTTGTCTTTTGAGGCTTGTTGATTAGGAATGAATGAAGGAGTGACTAATAGTTTGGCAGGAGCAATTACTTTCAACGAAACAGTGATAACCACCACTGAAAAAAAGTTACCCATTCAAGCAAAAAGAAAACGTGGAGAAAATGCTTTACACGTTGAGCGTTTGCTGAGATACTGTATTTCATAAATGATTGAAATCACTACCAAAATGGTACTCAACAAGAGCAACATGAGCTGTTTTTTTAAATATGTTGTCTATCCTCATGTAAAACAAAACTTTGTTTTAATTCTTTATTTGTTATCAATAGCTTAATTGTACATTATACGCTTTCAGTTTCTAAACAGTGCTGAAGCAATCATTTGCACTGTTAAGTTTTAAGACTTAATGCATATTACAGTTCATTATGGGAAAAAGGATCAGTGTAAAATGTTTCCCCTACCTCTGACTGTGCATGCTGCTCCTCTCTTTCTTCAGAACAATAGGACCCGAGAGTCGGCCCATTTCCCTCTCCTGGCTTAAATAGCTATTGAGCGCATGACCAGGCCACACACACACACACACACACACACACACACACACACACACACACACACACACACACACACACACACACACACACACACACACACACACACACACACACACACAGCATTCATATGCCTTGTGATCATAACCCAAATGACGCCGGTCTGTGTGGTCTCTCACACAATAAAAGAATAACTGTGAGATGGCATCAGTCATACATGAGCAAATGTAATTACTTTCAACAACATTGAGATGGTTTGTAATCTGTAGAGAATACTTCATGATAGTTTGTTCGCACAAATTAGTAATTTACCTCCTCTAATTACTTAATTTGTGAGCTCAAATAACTGTAGAATTCAGATTGTGTTCTGCAGAGTACAGAATGATCCATACTGGGAGGCAATAAGGAAAGAAGAGAGTCAACATTATCATTTTTATTTGGTACTACTAAATCACTAATGATGACAAATAGGTCAAAAATATGTAGAATAAAAATCTATTTTAAATTTCATGTCAATAATGTAAAAATCTTTTTTTTATTATGGTTACCCAGTGTACATTTCAATGAGACTTTGCAGATGTCTTTGCTTCTGCAAAAGCATCTTCAGAATTGCCAATAAAATGGGAGAATGTATCAAACCCACTGCCCCTTTTACGTTATTTGCAAACGCTTCATAAAGCGTGACTGATGTGGCCAGCATGAATAACATTTACCTAACAATTTCATTCTATCCTAAAGAACGTACAGAAATCTAACTTAACTCACTTTTATCACATTTACGCACACTCTCATACATGCACATATTACTTTAAAACATTTTCTTCCTGTTCACACATTCACAGTGTGCTCACCTGTTAATGCACACTTCTAGTTCTACATGTTCACACATGCCAAATATGTGACAGTATCTTTTTCTTTCAATTTACACTCATACAGACAGACAAGCAATCATAAACACCAAATACAAATGTGTTACATATACAGTAGTTATTACAGTCAGAATCCAAGGCTGTCTGTGTGGGTTAGGTTCGAGAATACAGGGTAATTCATTGGGTTTCTGGGGGAGTAGGATTGGGTGCATGGATGGAGAGTGGCTTGTTGGGTTTTATTTAGATACAGTAGGAACAGACAAAACTGTTGGATCCCCTAGAGAACGGAAGTCCTGAGGTCTTGTGAGGAGTCTGGTCCTGCTCCAGTGTTGGCCGACTCCTCTGCGGAGCGGGGCGGGAGGTCGGACATGGCTGTCGCATGCTCCTCTTCATGCTGCTCTTTGTTTTGGGCCAGGGTTGAAACCACATCAGATGGGTCAAATGGTGCTATCCTGGAAGAGAGGACAGAAGCGCAGTTGGCATCCATTTAACAGTTTGCAGAAAGAGAATAGACTGTTTGACAGCAGTAATACTCACTGACAGAGTGCCTAATATAGAAGCTACCTGTTCCAAAGGAGAATACAATCGTTCTGCTTTACATAATACAGAAAAGCTCATTCTGATGGGACACTGAGCTTACCAGTCAAATACAAGCATAACTTAATTTGGTGTTTTCATAATGTTTGTTGAACTGCTGTTGATAATGGTGCTGCGAGCAAATGCTAATACACCGCTAGGTCTGTTTATTTAATGGTGCACCAGATGGAGAAGCTTACAAACTGTGAACGGAGATACGCTGGGAGGTAATGACACAACCCGTTATAAATAGATAATTCAGCATTATTGTATTGCAGGTTACAATGTCCTGGGTGCAAGAATTTCTCGAAATGCTGAATGCACTTTGCAATGCCCTAGTTGAATTACTCTCAAGGGTATGCAAACCACCACTTTAATGTCATTCCAAATGTTTCAAGCATGTACGCTGAAGGGCGGCATCTCACCAAGAATACATTTAGGGAATTCATAACTTCCTCTGCTGTCATCTGGCAAGTTGCGATAATATAATTCTGTTACCCGGCAAAGTTGGTTTTCTAGGTCAGGTTGGAGCGGATTTGTTAGGCTTTGGGCTTGGATCGTGTAAAGGTTTTGTTATTCTCAAATGTATTTAATTAGAAATGTTGTTTCTTTTCTGTAACAACTGCCTGCGTTGATGCATGTACCCAAGTAGAGCGAGGGAAAGAGACCAGTGTAACTAAGATAAAACACCTAAAACAAACAGTAGCTTTGTTTCTTTATCTGCTTTACAAAGAACCGTTTCCTTACATTTCTAAATGGGTAAAGACTTTAAGCTAAAGAAGTATATTAAGTTTCCACAATTTACATGACTGGATCTCAATGTTCACCTGCACTCACTGAATTTGATTGCTTTGCATTGAGGCTTCTGACATCCTTGTGTGTACAGGGAGCAGCGCTTTATGCCTTTTTGAGTTGATACTTCGGAAAATGGTGCGACACTTGAGATTTCTGAAAGTGACTTTTGGTGTTGTTGGCAGACTTTTTAGTAGTTTCCCTTCTCTAATGACAACTGGATTGTCACTGCTGCTATGAAATCTCTTAACAAGGACACATTCCAAGATGACTCTGTCAACTGTTTAATAATTCAGTGATGCTTTGTTATCGTCTGTGCACACAGGAACACATCAGATTTCACTTTGTGTCTTGTACACTTTCACTAACATACTTAACAGTCTCAGTGGATCACATACGTATGCATATGAGTATTTTTTTTCTATGCATAGAATATTTATTTTTTACATACATTCTCACCCCACACTTTCACATGGTCACTGCCTCACACACCTTTAGCTTATTATTGATCCGAGCCTGCTAGTCTGATTAGGAAGAATAGTATTAATACCCGTTAATGCTGTGAGTTCACAGGACTCACACTCTCATGTGACCAAGTGAGCAGCCTCCTGAGTGCATAGCTTACAAAACAGCCAGGAGGGAATCAGCTGAGAAGCACACAACTGGTGGTTCCTATGAACCACACATTTTCAGGTCAGTGCACAACATTTAGTCGACTGAAATGGGCAAATCTGACATCCGGCTAGTGTTGGTGACAACTGATACTGTAGTTTGGTGGTAACAACAACATCGGACTCTAAGGAGAAATCTGTGAGAGAACGAAAAGCCTAGCAACGGCGTGCTGTCTGAGCTCAGTGAGATCATGTCAACGATTTAACAGAAATACCTGCATGTGGTATTTTCAGCTCCCAGTTAATCACAATGTTTGGAGATCTTTGTCATTAAGTGTAATCTGTGTTAATAATTTTGTATTTATTTAGATAGAGATATGGATGGATGGATGGATAGATAGATAGATAGATAGATAGATAGATAGATAGATAGATAGATAGATAGATAGATAGATAGATAGATAGATAGATAGATAGATAGATAGATAGATAGATAGATAGATAGATAGATAGATAGATAGATAGATAGATAGATAGATAGATGGATAGATAGATAGATAGAAATAAAAATATGTTATGTGTGACATACTGTTGAGCGTCCCCATTGCCTGCAGGAAGTGTGTCATCACTGCAGTCCCCTCCTGTAGCTGCCTCCGGTTCAACACACCCTTCCTCACATGCCCGCTGTAGGCCAGGGGTACTGCATACACACACACACAACAAAATCTCATATATTCCTGTTGCCTGTCTTAAAATTAACTACATGCTTCAAAGGGTCCTGTAGAAAAACAATCAAAAATAAATTGTAGAGTCTATTACCAATGAAATGTCCCAAAGAGCTATACTAAACCAATACTTAGCAAAGTCTCCCCATGTCATCATCTTTCAGTGGGGAAATGTTAGCTGTAGCTTTGGCAACATCAGAAGCAATCAAGCTGTAAGTCCCATCTGTTATTACAGCACTGTTGGTACTTCTGCTAGCAGTTAGATTGCCTATTTCAGCTATTAGAGAAGAGGAACTGGGATATGGTTGGTACTAGTGTGAATGCAATTATTATTTCGATTTCTATTCATACAAAAAGAGAGACCAATAGCATGTTTTTGCCAGAACACATTCACGTTACAGTGTGGTAAAATTAGGGCTGTAATGAAAATATATTTCTGTTCAGCTCAGTCTTATTAAATGTTGTCACTGAATGGCAGGCTACAGGAAATAGTATCTGCTAATAGTTGGGGAGTATTTAAGTTAAGGAAATGTGGATTGTAATAACAATCCACCAGAAAATGAAGGCCTTTATGTGAGTACACAGGTACAGGTACCTACCTATTTTTATTACGACATTTGAGGATATAGACAATCATGATGACGGTCTCCAAAACCAAAAAGGTTGTGGCAGAAATAGCCACAATCTTCCACGCATCCAGGCCCAGATCACTTGTTTCTAGACAGAGAGGATAAAAAATGATTGCATAGAGTAGGAAACATTACATATGATGCACTACGCTTTACTACAACTGAATCAACTGTCTCTCTTTTGCACATAAAGAAAGCTGTACTCTGAAACCCCAAACTCTTTTAGCCTTTTAAATGACATTTTTCCATGAAAGATAAATCCTGTTTTTCACTGTCATGTCACTTTACACAATCGACCATCGAGCTATTTTGAATTGTGCCATCTCAAAGGGCATGTATGTGATACATAGGGGCATAGAAACAACACAAAGTAAATACTTCTTATATATTCCAGGGAGCCAGAAAATAGCATATTACTTTATGATGGGGTGCTCCCAACTGTTTGGTCTTCCCCCAGCAGTCACTATGTAGTTAGCCTGCTTAACTGTTTATTCAAGTGGAACAACATCAACTTGGCCATCTGCATATCTTGCAGGCAGAATCAGGATGTTTTTTTCTGCTTTATCTACCCAAGTTTTAAGCTTCAGAAAATCTACTGTAATATCAACACCCATTTATAGTTGGATCTGCGAGTTCTGAAACTACACTTGAGAGCTGCAGTACATATCATTTTTCCCTCACTTGAGACAGTAAAATCAAAACCAGAAGAGTAAATATGAACCCAAGGAGTCATTTGTGATATGTTGTGTTTACCTTTAGAATTGTAAATGTTTTCATGTTTTATTTTACCTGTGTTTTCAGCTGTATCTTCCACCAGCTCATTGGCCTCCCCTGGTTCCTCCATTTCTGTCTGAACGGGTTCAGCTGGGACATCCTTCACAGAATTACCCAGTGTAGGTTGGACCTCAACAGGGTCAAGTGGCAAAAGGTCTTCAGTAGGGGTGATGATCTCATTGCCATTGTTAGTTTTCTCATCAAGAAGGGTATTTTCTCCAGTCTCCACCCAAACCAGAGACAGGCTGGGGGTGGGAGCCTGGTGTTCAGGGCTCTGCTCTATTGTGGCTTCATCACCTTCCTCCAGCTCTGAGGCAGAGATCACCAGCACTTCTAGAAGAGGGGTTTGGTATGTGACACATACATGAAAATGAAGCCAAGAGGTCAAGGTTTAGGGTTTGTCGAGTGGACCTATGGAATGTAGAATAATGCATAGATGTGCTGCAGCAGAGATTTGAAGGTGCTTCATGATTTGTAAGCTTATTCACAGTGTCACATTCATCTTTACTGGGAAGAATGCATACAGTATGATATCAGTCTAGTTTCATGTGGACCAATTCTCATTGGGATAGTCAAGAGAATTTAAGAAGTTTTGACAAATAAATTATTCATGTTCATGTCAGAATATTCTAAGTAAACATGTATTCAAATGTTTTCTAACAAAAGGTTGCAGAAAATATTTCAAAACCATGCTCATTTGCCATCCAGCCAAAATGTGGACATAAGATGGTGGGAACCAATGATATTTGAAAATGTATTGAAGGGGCTTACTGTATAATATTCATTTAGGAGCTTTCCTCTCTTAAAGTAGGTTAAGATGCAAACAATGCAACTGCGTGTTTAAAGGCAAATAGCATTGCCGTTTTAGTTTTAGGTTTTCGTGACCCAAATTATGAACAGGTTTTACATATTCAACAGTTCAGATAATTGTAAGATAAGAATGTACTGAAAGTAGAGATAATTGGGAAGCTAAAATATGGAGCTTTTTGTTTTGGATTCTGAGGTTTTAGACATTGTTTGTATATTCAATAGGGTGTGGTCTCAGACCTCCACACTGAATCCTAAAGTCAGCTTTCAATTCCATTGAAAGAATTACCCATGTCTCACCTTGTTCCTCTTTTTCACTGCCATGTGAAGTCTCCAAAGCAATCTGCTCCTCTTCTCCTGCTTGTTGGTCACCCCCCTCATTTTCCAATGCCACTGATTCCTCTATGATTAAACTCTCTCCGTGTATTTCCCCCCCTTCTGCTTCTGTACCTTCTGCTTCTACCTCTTCAGCTGCACCTTCCTCCACCACTAAATGGACTTGTTCGTCCTCTACCTCCGGTCCTTGGTTGTCCTTCACTATGTTATTCTGATCCTCGTCCTCTTCAACTGGCTCTCCGACTACAGTTTGTGTGGTCTCTATGTCATAATCATCAGAAGGTGGTGCTATCTCCTCACCTTCCAGAACATCTACCTGAGATTGTTCTTGTTCCCATACATCCTCAACATCAGCCACTAGGCTAGGGTCAGACTCTTCCACAGTTTCTTGCTCAGGTTCTTCCCCTCCTGCCACCTCCTCAATATCTGGAGTTTCCTCTACCTCCTCTGATTCTGTTGCAGCTGCCCCTTTTTCTTTCGCCAACACAACCTGCTCCTCGCCGTCCTCCACCCCTGCTTCCTCAACTGCTAAATATTCTCCTGTCTCTTCCAAAGCCGCAACAGTTTCTTCAACAATCTCCTGACTGACCCCAGTGTCTAGAGATTCATTCAAAACCTCCACTCCTTCTGCCTCTCTTCTTCCAGTTTCTCCACCTTCTATCGTCTCCACATCAGATCCAACTGCAGTTTCCCCCTCCCCTTCAACAATTGCTTTGCCCTCCACGGCTTCATCTTCAAGTGCATCCACCCCTGCTACATCCTGCGTCTCTCCTATAGTATCTTCCTCCTCTGCACCCATATCTCCACCGTCCATCTCTGTTTCCACTGCCTGCTCCAACACCTCTGCCTTGATTTCAGTTTCAGTCTCTTCATTTTCATCCTCCACAACCACTTCCTGCACCACTGTCTCCTCTGCTCTTGCTTCACCTCCTCCTTCCACCTGCCCCAGTGCAGCTTCCACCACCCTCTCTAACAGGTCCTTCAGCACTTCCTCTGCCCCATGAGTTTCCACCTGCTCTGAGGCCTCCTGCACAGCTTGTTGCACCTCTTTTAGGCTAGGGGGGGCCACCACAGGCAAAACCTCTGCAGGGGGCAGCTCTGGTTCCTGGAGTAGGGCTTGGTCATCTTGCAGGGTGACCACTGAGGACGATTGGATCGATGTGGCGAGATCTAGGAGATAGTATCAAATATGTTCGATGATTTGTAGCTGCTGTTAACTTGTGACACACCTGGAACATATGATACATGGTGTGCTGTATGTGATACTATCGATAAAGGAACGTTGGCAACTAGGGGAATAAGTCAAAGGATTTCAGTGGTGGGGTGAATATATATAGTGCCATATGTAGCAACATAATCACTGCAAATAACCTTATGGGAAATATACCAGCATGTTGTTGATTTCTTAATGATTGGTTGATTATATAATTATTCATAAATGGAACAATCACATCACGACCACATCAGATCTAGGTGCAAGGCTACTGGGAATAAATGAGTGGTCAATGTGTAGGTGTTACTCTTTTCATCAAAATACAAATATATCGTCACATTGAAAATCCAACCTACCTTCAGTTGTGCATTGCCGTATCAACAAAACCACAAGGAATCCTTTCAAAAAGCAGTACTCCATGATTTTAGAGATCACAAAAGAAATACTCCAAAAAATCCCCAGTGTCTTCCAGGAAAATACCTCCTTCCTTCTTTTTGTTACTTCAATTTTACTCAATGGTCTTGTGTGAGTGTATACACCTCTGCAAGAGATACACTGAGTGTGTAGACTCTAGATAGTTGGACAGCACATTTGGCCCAGGCAGGGAGGGTTATGTTAGCAGGTGACTCTGAAAGGAGGGAGGGTGAAAAAACGAACATCGCCATGTTAAATATTGCCACCCTGAGGTGTCTCCATACCGCCAGGTGTCTCTATGGGAGTTGGGGGCAGAAAAGTAGCACTAAAGTGTCAAATGATTTTGAGACCCTTACAAGGGCTGTGGTGAAGCTTGGGCGGCATGTCACACACAGATTGAACTCTGAGAGAGCAATTATAGGTGGGCTGTGACTTTGGGGGGTCAGTGATGCTACCATTTGGGCTTGACATAGAGCTAGACAGTGTAGATATGTGTGTAGCATACATATACGGTAAATTATAATAATATCACACTGAAATAAATGAATATTCTCTTGAGAAAGTGTTTCACGCAGAGTAAGTGAAATGGCGTTCCTTTTGTGTGTGTCAAAAGTGCTTTTATTTATCACTTTAAAGTATATTGCCTTTTTGTCTTCTATACAACACTACAATATACTGTTTTGTTATGTCACTAGTATTGTGCACAAGGCAAAGATTACTATGGCATGGTGATGCCTCATTGTTTCTAACTGTAAGGTAGGCCTGCATGTCTATAATGTAATGTAATACGGGGAGTGTTTATGTTATGGATGTCTGTGTGTGCCTGTTTAGTCTCACAATAGCATGGTAAGTGTCGAAATACAATAATGATAGTGGTTGTTACATTAATTGGAATATATCTATAAATGTCTCGTGTTTTTTTACAAAGGCATTGACAAGTGTTTTCTAAACAACACCACAAATTAAAATATATATGGGTGGCATCATTGACATATCCCCCAGCGTAAAATGCACTTACACTTCTTAAGTGTTTGTTTGGTCATACTGTGGATCTCTGTCTATTACATTGGTCCAGACTGAAGTATTTCAACAAATATAGGATCTATTTACATAAAATTGATTAAAAAAAAGAATCCTAGAAAATTAATCCTAAAATGTTGGTGACTTTTCCTCCATTGTCAACATCAGATTGACATATGTGGCTTTGAGTGAAATATCTCAACTACAGTGATATAGTTACCCACTTTGGACTGCACTAAACTAAGTTAATAAACTTTATAAACATTAAAGCTGCCAAACTTCACCAGGTTAGCTCTGTCATTGTAAGCATGCTGACGTAACATTTAGCTAAAGATAACACTGTGCCTTAAAGAGCCGCTAGTAAGGTCGTTCAGACTTGATCAGTGTCAATTGAGAAAACTGTTTTTGAAATCACTAGTTGAAGCCACAGACTGTATAATAGGGGAGAGTGGGGTAAGATGAGCCAATTGTTACTGTACTCATGGCAAGGAAATATTTGATAGAAGTCAAATGACAACAACTGTTGTTTCATGATGTCTTCTGTCAATGAAAATGAAAATAATGCATCTCTCACAAAGGGCCATTAAAATAAGACTTAAATTGACCAATCTAAGGGCTACATTGATCCACGTCAAGGGGTAACTTGAGCCATCTGGGGTTAAAATTACCAATTGACTTTTCAAGTTTAAACCTGAGCATAAGTCAAATATATATATATATATATCATCCTTTTTCTGACACTCCCTTCTTTGGAGTCTGCACTGTAGTGACACCTGTTGTGTCAGCATTATAAATCATGTTTGGAGGGAATGTATACCTGTAAAACCAGAATGAAGGAGCCAAATCAGAATCAGAATGAACTAACAGCCCTTAAAAGATATTCTTGTAAATGTAGCTGGAAACACCTGTACCAGTCTGTTGTAAATGTACTTTAATGATTTATATAGGCTAGTCATTGATAATTACTCAATCTCCTCAGTCTTTCTCTGGGACTTTCTTGGCATAATAGCTTTTCTACAATGTTTAAAACTGTTAGAAAAATATCACTCGTCACCGGCTTGGTCTTCAATATCAGGATACATGTATTTATTATCCTTGCAAGAATGGAAGTAGTCATCACATGGGACAAATAGTTCCCAGAGTAGAATCCTTGATATGCTTATACAAGAGAGGGTGTTACAGTCAACAAGATGGAAGAATACTGGTTCAAAGCAGTATTCTGACATTAGTTAAGATTAGCTAAGGCCTGCGTAAGCAATAAACATGACAATCATATGCCTATCTCTCTAGGGGCATCATGCCAATCTTAGGAACTAGCTATCATAACTTCAACACAGTGTCTCATGAGCGTCATCCATGTAGTCATACATCCGGCTACGTACAAAGCTACGTAGGGCCTCTGTTATCATGTATAGAAGGAACATTCAGTATTATCCCAACAAAAACATAAAAAACTAATCAGTTGTGTAAAACTACATTGAAATACCATTGTATACTACAAAGACCTATCTTAACTTCAGTGCCTTAAGTTGAACCACTGGCTCAATTGACCCCAAAGCATCTGGCTCATTGCCCCACACAGCCACTTTCTTGTAAAAACGAGTCTAGTTTAGTCATTCATGTTAATCTTTAGCTAAGTTATTCTCATGGTTTTACACCTTGCTAAATAACCAAAATGTATGATACATATTTTGTAGACCTGGATACATTTGCTTTGAGATAATAGTAATCATACCTGACAATGTACTTTGACTGCAAAACATGGTTTATTGTGAAAAAAAACATATTTACCACTTTACCATTTGCTTCTCTTCACCACAGCCACAAACTGTAATGATGGGTGTGATGGGTCACATGACAAAAACATGTGCACAGTTGCCTAGATAAAGGGGGTGGGTAAACTTTCCCAGTGGCTCATCTTTACTCTCCCCTAAGTCAAAATGTGATGACTTTTGATCCATCCATCTTTACATTTAAAGCTAATTAATTATTGCCAATCTAAATGTTCCCTACCATCAACTGTGTATATCACAATTTAATCTTGACATAAATTCAACTATCTGTTCATTGATAGCTGGGTCAGTGGGAATGTGTTTAAGGTATTAAATGATTGTAAAATCAAATATGTGAAATTCTCCTAATTTCCCTCCAAGTCAAAATATCAAGTACGTCCCATTATATTCCTTATACTGTCTGCCCTCCACTGCCCCCTCCACTTTATGAAAACATATTATGGCTTTCAGATACAATTTCCCTGAATAATGCCCAATAATAGTCGCCGCTCTTGGAATCTTTAATGTAACTTCTCTTTCAATGAAATCAGCTGATCCTGACCAAAGTATCCATTGACTCTCATGCCAAAAGACCAGTGTGACAAAACTATAAACATGTGTCATCAAACCATTGAATTTCACAGACCCACCAGCTTATTATCTCGTTGGCCCCTCAGCATGAACACTGACAGTTTGCTCCAAGCTATAAAACTAACTACAGAAATAATAGAGTCTTTTTAGCTGTCATTGTTGGTACAAGAACATGTCAGTTGTATTCTCTGTGGTCTTTGTGTTGCGTATGAAGCAGCGGGGGGTGTTTCACAGTGATCTCAGCTTCAATTCGATTTATTTGACAATTCAGTGCCAAATATGCACTTCTGCATTTCAAGAGTCTCTGTTCTCTGTCACAAAACAAACCATAGATGGAAACTCAGTCTTGTGGGCTTCAGAGGAACAACAAAACATTTTTGAATTGTTTTCTTCTTGCTTACTTTGTAGCATTCTTTGGAGATCTTAACTTTATATTTTCTGATCTCTCTTTCTTTCTCTAACCTCTTTTTCTTGCTTGCTTTCTCTCATTCGTGACTGCAGGAGATTTGGTCTGAAAGGTTAATACAGTCACATGAGCTTCACATTGTGCTTTGTGCTACCAGGCAGTAGCACTTCTTACTTAGCTTGTGACTGGGCTGGAAAGGGGGATTATTACACTGATGCATACTGTATATTGGCTAGATACACACATACACACACACACACACATACACACACACACACACACACACACACACACACACACACACACACACACATACACACACACACCTACACGCACACAAACAAAAGTCCCCAGGAACTCTTAATATACATGTTATATAATATTGGAAACTAGAGAGCACAGTGCAAGGTTTCTGGATTTTGTTAGAAGAGGTAGAAACAATTTAAAAGTTAAATCACATACTTTTGCATTTAAATAATAAGTAGTCAATGAACACAACTCTCTCTCCCTAAAGTAATGGCTTCTCCTAAAGCACCTAAGTGGTGGGGTCATAGGTTAATTAATAAATGAAAATGAGGATTGTGACATTAAGGCCCCGCCCACACGGAGACGATATCAGTTGAATCCGCTAACGTTCTCTATCGTATAGACCAGTGGTTCCCAAACGGTGTGCCGCGGCACACTGGTGTGCCGTGAGGCAAGTCCGGGTGTGCCGTGGGATTTTGTGACAACCATACGTTATTATTGCAATATACAACTACACAAAAATAATTACTTTTTAATGTACTATATCAGTACTTTGTAGGTTTATATGTACGTAATCTGCGCGACTTGTGCGTCCACATCTCCACGTGCAATGCTGCATAAACATGGCTGAGTCAGCGATAACTCTCGAGGGGTGGAGGTATGCCCATTATTTTGAGTTCGTCCGAAGAATAGACAGGAATGTGACGGTGAGGTGCAAACTGTGTCCAGGCCAGAAGCTGTTATCTACTGCTGGAAACACCACGTCAAACCTCAACAAACACCTGCAAAAAACACATGCTAAGGTGAAGCTACCGCACACGCTATTTGTTGTTTGTTTATATCACGTAGTCTGTTCTTCTTCTCTGTCTTCCGGTTGTTGCCTGTTTTGAATGACAAATACACACTACCGCCGCCTGCTGGTAAGGAAAGTTATTGCCACTCACGCATGCGCAGTTCGTACGTGCTCGGCGAGTAAAGTAACGAGTTACTTTATGTAGATAGTAACGAAGTAGTGTAATATATCGGCAAAAATATTTACAATAGCACATGTTTCAATGCTGATTGCTGAAATGTTACATTTATAATTTGTAGTTCAGGACCATGCAATGCAGCTTCCTTGCATTGACAGTTCTCTGCGCTGAATTTCTGCTGAGTTTCCTTTGCCTCATTTTTTATTTT